GAGCGCGGCGAGGCCGACACGTTCACCTTCACCGGCCCCGGCAGTAGCGTCTTTCAGGGCCGTAGTCCGTAAGGCTCCGCGCTGCCGGAGTCTACGGACAGCAGGGGGGCAGCAGCTGCAGCGGCAGCAGCGGCAGGAGGAGCAGTAGCAGTAGCAGGAGGAGCGGAAGGAAGGGCTCGAGGGGGAAGCCCCTAGCAGTAGCAGGCTGGTGGGAGGGGCGCCCGAAGAAAGGAGCGGCGGTAGGAGGAGCCCTGGAAGGGTGGAACCCCCCGATGTACCCCTCCCCCTCCTATTTTTGAGGTTTTGACTTCCATTTCACCACACAGGGGAGCTACTCGGGCTTAGGGTTGTCTTTGATTCGTGAGAGCAATGGATAATATGAAGACAGCGCTCTGTGGAGGGGGGTGCTGTGGGGTTGGAAAGCGGGGCCGCCCCGTTCAGCCCTTTCCGTTCCTCGGCATGATGTACTCGGGGCGTCGGCAACTTGACGTATTCATCATTGTACTTTGCTTCATCATCCTTCCCTCTCCCTCTTTCTACTCTCTCCCATCCCCACCCGCAACCCCGACCAGCGATTGGGGCCCCCTGGGAAAGGGGTTTTAGCCGGAGGATTGCAAGTGGGGCGTGACGGGGTGTGAGGTGATGGCGGCTGCGGAGGGTTGCTGCGAGGGAGGGAGAGGCGCAGGTTGTGGGCAGGAGAGGGCAAGAGTGCCGCAGGAGGGGAGTGAGGGCTGCGGACTACAGGGGAGTGGAGGGAAGGGGAGGGGGAGCGGCTGAAAGAGTGGCGTGTGGTTGCGTGTTGTGCGCACGCGCATACACAATATATATAGAGAGGGGGGGAGGGGAGAGAGGGGGGGTTGGCTTCGCAGGTGCGGCTACTGTTAACAATATTATTGCTACTGGTGCTACTGCTGATGCTCCTACCTGGGCGGTCACCCCTGAACGGCCTCTGTCGCTGTGGCTGGTGTGGGTTGGGTGTTGGGGGAGGGTATGGCGCTGGTGGCAGCACAACGCACGGAAGAGAAACCGGAAGAGAATAAGAGAATAAGAGAGAGAGAGAGAAGAAGAAGAACAGAGCGCGGGCAACACCACTGACATTGGGCACTGATGGGGTGGCGAAGGTGCCGTGTGGCGGGTGTGGGTGCGGGTGCGGGTGCGGGTGCGGGTGCGGGGGGAGCCATGTGCGGGAGGGTGGGAGGCGGATTGAGGTGGGACGACGAATGGGACACAAAAGAAAGGAAAGGATTCAATCGACGCGACCCGCGTGACGTTCATGAAAAGGGCGGCGCATGTAGTGCGGCTGGGGGGCAGGAGGTGCGCAGGAGGAGACATGTGAGGGGAGAGAGAGAGAGCACACACCAGCATTAACCAGCTCGAAAATTATCTGTAATCTAGCGCGCGGTGGCACCACGTCGTACATGCAGTACGGTGACGGGCAGTCTGGCGTGGTGGGGTGCTTTGCTGCTGTACCCTTTATCTCCTTTTCCTCGGTGGTCGGGGTGGAACGCAATCCGGCAACGGTACCAGTGTACCTTTTGTTTGTGTTGGGGAGGGTGGGGGGGGTGTAGGACAGCTGCTCCTGGGAGAAGCGGAAACAGGCAGAGGAGGATGGGGGAGTGGAAAAGGAAGAGGAAGGGGAGAAAATAACTTCCTAGTTGGATTAGGGGTAGGCGGAGGATGGGGGGAGGAGGAGAAGGGGGGTTAGAGCCCTTGGGGCGGCTGTGGATAGGGGGGAGATCATGCTGACAATCTCCCGTGTCCCGGGTTTCGGGGCTTCTGACGTAGGTGGGAGCACCTTTGCATCGGTATGTGGTTCTGTGAGAAGAGTTTTTGTACTCCTAAGGTTATATGTGGGGCTACGTCAAGCCTGAAAGAGGTCCTTATTGTGTGTACGGACAAGAGGGGGCTGTACGGCAGAGTCACGCTTGGTCATGCATGTGTATGTATGTGTGTATTGTATGTATATGTATATGCGTATGTGGGGGGGGAGTTGCTGAAAAAAGGGGGGCCACGGGAAGGGCAGCTGTTGCGCTCGTACCTCAGGTCAACCCCCCCCCTTCCCCCCGCCGTCTCCCCCCCCCCACACACACAGCATTGAAGCTCACTGATCCGGTGTCAGGGGGGAAGGGGGTTTCGGTTTCTCATGTGCAGTACACCTCAAGCGCTGCTGCCATGACCCAAATCGGTCGGTACAACACTCGTACATACGGACGTAGGGGTGCCTCGTAAACATATAATTATGAAATTTCGGCGGGCTGTATGTACGTCGGCATGTTTACAAGCATTTGCAAGCACGTTTTTGCATCCGTGAATGCATCCGTTCACATCTTCGGTGGTTCGCGAATTGCTGTCCAATGGTTAATCTTCTTAGGAGCGGTAGATACCACTTAACGACTATTGGCGGGGGGAGGGGCGAAGAGGACGGCCCGGCGGCCTACGTGCCGTACAGCGGGTGGTTTACATGCGTGTGGGGAAGGACTGGAAAAGGGCGGAGTGCACGGTGGCTGCTCTCCGCTCCCCGCTAGGCTACTTCGATATTTCTTTTCCCACGCGTCCTGTTTTCTCCGCCTGGCTGCGGCCCCGGCTGCTGGCGGCCCTTCCCAACCTTCAGGCGGGCCACGCTCTTGCGGCGAGCTGGGCGCCGGGGTAAAGGGCTACGTGGTACACGAGCCAGCTGGCGAATAGCTCCAGGAGGGTTTCGAGGTCGGGGGCATTAGGAGGGGGGAAAGCGAGAGGGGCAGGTAGGAAGAGAAGAAAGAGTGTGAGACATGCACACACATACAGATATACATACATATACATACATATGGAGAGGGGCATGGGCCCCGTGTAGCGCTCCACGACCCACGCTCTACTCAACAGCAGTGCGCGGCAACTGCGCGGCTTGCGGTGCCGCCGGGGGACTGGCGGTGTGAAGGTGGGGTGAGGTGGAGGTGGGGTGGAGGTGGGGTGAGGCGGTAAAAGGATGATGCGAAATGGTTCGCGCCGTCACGTGCCACTTCAGGTTTACTTCTTCGCTCGCTCCTGGTACGGCGGCTCGGGCCACGTGGACCCACGTGGCCGGGTTAGCAGTTTTGTTAGTTGGCGTCGGTTTCAGTTACGTTGCTGCCCTTCCTTCTTGCCAGGAAAGCAGTATAGTCCGCGAGGGAGGGAGGGGGGTTGTTTGGGGGCCCAACTCGGGTCCCGCGTCGTCGTTATCATCCCGATAACTGTTAAAAAGCTGAGAAATGGATGAATGAATTGTGTACGAAAGTATGTATGTTGTCATGTGTTTTGTAAACGGAAGGGGTGCTGCACCCCGCTGGGCTGCGCCATAGCGCGTACATGGGGTGGAGAGTCATTGTGGGCGGGCGGCACAAAAGTGGAACGGGGTCGTAAGGGGCTTGGGGTAGAAGTCCCGTGGGCGAGGTGAAGAGGTGATGGCTGTACAACCCCATCACCAATCCACCCCCCATATGCGCCCGCTGGAGACTAATCGTCCGGAGTGGGGTGGTCATTGTCTTGACCTACCGATGAGGCGTCCCGCAATGAATTTTTTCTGAGGGCGATGGGGGAACTTGGTGGGGTTTGTGGCGCGCTAGTCGGTGCGGAGCAGGATTGACATCCAAAGCACAACAGCGAAAAAATTGGTGTCTCGGAGGATTCCTGAAGCTGAAAGCACACCAAAGTGTGTGTTTTGTGTGATGTATTTAGCGTGTTATTACTCTTCACACCAGCTCTTTGCTGCAGCAGCAAAATGTGCTTGGATGGGCTGCAAGCGGCGGATGTTAAGTTGAAACATTCGCGAGAATCGTGTCATCGGAGCGCCGTATTGTTCGCCGTACAGCGGTACATATCACATTGATGTACATGGTGTAGTGTGTGGGGCTGCAGGGCGTCGGGAGCGGTCTGTCTTGAGAAGATTTCGTGTGTTCGGGAGGTGGGGGGGGGGATAGCGGGAAGGCCTACCGGGAATGAAGATGTTGTCCGGGGGGGTGTAGAGGGAGAGAGAGAAGGGGGGGGAGAGGAAGATAGGAGGGAAAGGAGGGGGATATGCAAAGAGCGTATGTGTTTTGTGTATCTTCGAGAAGGTATGCCAGAAATGCATACAGACTGACAGTTCGTCAACAGGACTATATTCGTGTTGCATTTCCTTCAGGTTCTATTAATCCTCTGTGTGTGTGTGTGGTGTGTGGTGTGTGGTGTGGGTGAACCGCCCCGGCGAACAGGTGTCGACGAGCTGGGAGCATAGCTTTGTACAAGGCCCCCCACACATACTACGTACTACATACGCACACACAGCCAGGTCACGGGCACCTGTAACGCACGAGACGGTGACACCCATGCCGATGTCGCACTCCTGCAGATGAACCCCGAGCACACACGCACTCCTCCTCCTCCACTCCTCCAATGCCTGTCTGACGTGCCCCTGCAATCGCTGCCTCAATGCTGCACCTGACGCAGTAATCGCCACCATCCCAGCACTCCCAGGTAGCCACCACCACCACCACCACCACCACCATCTACCGCAGCTTCCCAACCTATCCTGGCCGACGCTAACCACCTCCTACACCTACACCTTCTCATCCTCGCTGCGGCCGCTAGTGCGCTACGACTGCACTCCGGAGCCCCCTTCTCTCCGTCCCTCCCCCCCAACCTTTCCCCACTCTACCTCTTACCTCTACTTCTCCCTTTCCCTCCTTCGATTCTAAACCCCTTCGGGCCTTTTACACCGCGCCAGGCGGGTGTTGACTGTTACGCAACTAGGCGAACTAGGTTGTTGTTCACGGAGCCCTCCTCCTAAGGAGGACCTTCACAAAACCCGCAGTGATGGTTTTCCAGCTCTGCTTTCCAAGCTCCTGGCTAAGGCTAACAAAGCGGCGAATCTCTCCATCCGACCTACTCTATTCGACACCACCCTCAGGACCGCCGACGACCCCAGCACCCGCACCCGCACCCGCACCCGCGTTCGAAGCTGTCCCAGCCACCACCTCCACCCACTTGCCCCCTGGCCCCGGCGGCATCGACACCCGAAAGCTGATGCTCACGCACATGAACACTCCTCCGGCCGTGTCCTCCCCCGAGATCTCCATCTCGTAAGGCCCCGGAGGTGCCAGCGCGGGCAGCTTCTGACTGACCTTCAGCTGAAAGTCGGAACCCGCCACCAGGGGACATGACACCGCCTCACATAGCGGGGTCTCGTAGCTGGGCCCCGGAGGGACAGTGGACGGTGAGTGTGAGGGGGAAAGGGTGAGGAGAAGGGTGAGGGGAGGGGACAGGGGTGGGGTAAGACTGGTAAGGCTGGCCGGGGAGCGGGGAGAAAATGGTTTTAAGAATGGACACGCGCGAACCGTTGGGACGGTAACGGGATATGAAGGCGAAGGGGAAACAGGGACAACGGCACCAAAGCTATTGATGAAGGGTGAGGTGGAGGCCAGGCAGATTATAAGAGGCGGGAGCGGGGCCAGGGAGGAGTCTGAGGTTGGCGTGCGGGGGTAGGACGATGTGTGTGTGCGGGGGGGAGGGACATGCAGCCTCTCTTAGGCGTCGGATTGGCGGGACGTGGGGCGGTTGGGGCACCTGGCCTTTCAGCTACAGACAGCGTGCTGCATGTTGTCCCACGGGGAAGCCAGCCGCCTTCCCCCCTCAACGCGCAGAATACAAGATGTCGTACCGCATGTACGACACTTACGTGTAGACCTTGAAGCCCATGTACAGAACCGCGACCCGCAGCCGGCCTCCAGAAGTGCTGACTGGATTAATGCCGGTCACGTTGACCGCCATTGTACGACCATGATGAGGCGGGTCCGGTGACAAAGTGACTGAATCTGGTACGAGCATGGGTCCCCCGGCCCCGCCCCCTCCGCACACCTTCCAGCTCATACCCGCCACCGCGGAGGTGCTGCTCGTGTCGCTGCCACCGCTATCGCTGCTGCTGCCGCTACTGCTACTACTGTTACTGATGCAATTGCTGCTGCTGCTTTCGCACGACCTGGCGCTGTTTTTTTCGTTTTGAGGACAATCACTGGTGATCTCCGTGGCCTTCGTCGCAACCGGTGAGAGGGGAGCTAAGTTGCGGTGGTAGGCGGACAGGGACAGGTTGGAAATGGATATTGTAGTGGCAGGTACCGTGGCGGCGGCAGTGACAGAAACGGTGGCGACGCGGCTTGGAGAGATGCTGCTGCTTGCCGCGGTTGTGATGGCTGTGGCCGTATTGGGGAGTTTTAAGATTGGAGCTGACGGCCTAGCTGCGACGTGGATGGTGCGAAAAAGCTGTTGATGCGATTTGGGTTGCGCGGAAGAGTGATATTGAGGGTGCTTTTGTGTCTGGAAAGTGGGTCTTGAGGGCGGCATTATCGCGACAGCGTCGGGCGGAAGTGGCTTGCCACGTAAACGGAGCTTCGGAAAGGTCGCCTCAGTTTGGCATGAAGGAGAAGGAGCCGCGCATGTACTCAACTGCAGGTCCTTTTCAGCGATGTCAGCGCCGTTTGTGATGGTGTTGGCGGTGGCAGTGGGGCAGGTATGCCCGGCGAAAACCGCGACAACGAGGAAGAGCAGCAGACGTGGATATATTCCGCGATAGCGTGCTTCGGCTGAGAACGTTCCTGGCTGTAGATATAGGCGTGTTACAGTTCTTAAAGGATGTGGCTTCATGGAAGAATGTGCAAGAGAGGACTAAAACGATTGGAGGGCAACCTGACTTTTCGACGTTTTAAACGTTTTAATTCTTCTTGAGCTTGTAAGGCCCAAACGAGCCAAAGAACAGCCTGACTACTTTGTTGTGCGCGGGCTGTGATTAAAGTCACATGCAGTATGAAATTCAAGGAAATCTAATCTGAGAGAAGGCACTTCAAAGCAACGTGAGTTCGTTTTGTTGGATGGTCACAATGTTGCTGCAAGGTGTGACGTCAGGAACCCTAAGTCTAAATCGCACTTTGGAGTGCTCCACGTCAGTAGCATTACGCCCCTATCTTCTGACCTGGATTACTACTAGGCCAATCGGAGGTACAATCCCGCCCATGCAGAGATGTCAGTTCAGTCGCTACTTGTCAGAGCAGTTGGTGTCAGCGGTTGTACCATCGAACCAACAATTTTAAAGGCATTGTAAAATCTTTGTAAGGCTGCAGCTGCGTGGAGCTCCACGAAGCAAACTTTCTGGAAGAGATGGTAGCAGGGAACTTTGGCGAAGAAACGCATTCGAATAGCTTACATGATAAAAGATATTTTAGGCTTAGGTATAATATTTGAAGACCTAAAAGTCATGTTCGCATTCCTCTATATCTCTGCAATTGACCCTTGTCCCCATTGGCAGCATTCTGCAAATGCGCTATCTGAATGCGTTATATAGTATAGAAAAATGTGCGCTGCGGTGCACTAGGCATTATCCAAAGTGCCCATCGAATCTGTAAACAAACAGCTGTTGTGCAGTTATAGCACAATGTTGTACAGTTGTAGCACAATATTGTGCAGCTATAACACAGTGGGTCGTAACGCAATCCTGTGATATAGTCCAACGTGCGCATAGCTGATACAAAGTTACTTACCCCGCATTAATCTTACAGCGCCACAAGTAAAAGGCATGCCTGCACAGTAATACATGTGCCCTCCCAGAAGGCAAAGGACATTTTACAACAGGCAGCCGACCCCAACCCAATTGCTAAATGCATTTGAAGAATGAAAATCGAAGACTGGTTGCCAAAGGCGTTTCAGAACGTCGAAGTCAACGAAGCCATCGTGAATACCTAGACGCTACTCGGCAGACTGGTGGTCAACGCAAGGACTTCAAGCTTGGATGGAGTGATGTTTCTACTGCTTTGTCAGGTTTTGCTTGCATCTCGGCCCACTGATGTAATACTGGTGGTTGCATATCTTATGGTGCTACTATCCTTCCTGGCCGTTGGCATCGTGTGCAGGTCAAGCAATCATCAAAGGGCGGCTTGTTTCTGCTGTGAATAAGCGCTTGGGATTAAAACAATCCGCAGTTAGGCTGCACGCCCGCCGTCACGAGGAAGTCATCAGCGGCTCGCACACTCAGCCATATGAACCCTACCGGCTGGTGCAACGCCGTGATCGTACAAGCGAGGACACATTGCACTTTGTTTTGGTTGCCGACCAGCGAGCCCAGCCCACGAAGCAACGATTGCGCGAGAGTAACAACCGGCGGCCTCACATCTGTTCGGTCTTACCTGCTACGCAAGTTCGTCCAGCGGAGCTACAAGCAGCTGCACTTACAGTACGTGAGGTCGTTAAAATATGGTGACCCCCAACCCGTCATACTTCGTCTACTGGGTTGCAAAACCCCAGTGGATCAAGCCCTTCAAGGTATGTCAGGGGTACATGCTAACATGCTTGCTTGCGCTTATTTATACATTGGCATGAGACACCTCATGCAAACACATGTATAAGCGCAAGCAAGCATGTTAGCACGCATGTACTCCTGATACACCTTGAAGGGCTTAATCCACTGGGGTTATGCAACCCAGGAAACACCCAATGACGCGGGTTTGGGGTCGCCATTTTTTGCTGATCTGACAACGACCTCACGTACTGTAAGTACAGCTGCTTGTAGCTCCGCTGGACGAACTTGCGTGGCAGGTAAGACCCCGCACAGATGTGAGGCCGCCGGGCACTGTTGTTACCCTCGCGTAATCGTTGGCTCGTGGGCTGGGCTTGCTGTTCGGCAACCATAGACTTCTAAGAGCAAAGTGCAATGTTTCCTCGCTGGTACGGTCACAGCGTTGCACCAGCCGGTAGGGTTCATATGGCTGTGTGTGTGAGCCGCTGATCACATCCGCATGATGACGGCGGGCGTGCAGCCTAATTGCGGATGGTTTTAATCCTAAGCGCTTATTCACAGCGGAAACAAGCCGCCCTTTAATGACTGCTTGACCTGCACACGATGCCAACGGCCAGGAAGGATAGTGGCACATGGCTGAAGGACATGCAAGATGCAACCACTAGCATTAGATTTATGGCCCGAGACGCATGCAAATTTGACACTCTTGACACAGCAGTAGCAACAGCATTCCATCCAAGCTTCAAGCCCGTGCGTTGCGTTGCCCGCCAGCCTGCCGAGTACCGTCTAGGAATTTGGCGAACGAACTGAGGTCGCCACGGCTTCGTTGACTTCGACGGACTGAAACGTCTTTGGCAACTGGTGTATTTTTTTCCTTTTGCAACTGCCTAGCTCACTTGGAGTGAGGTCGGCTGACTGTTGTGAAATGTCCTTTACCTTCTGGGAGGTCATATGTTGTTGTTACAGAGTGGGAGGCTTCTGGGCAGGGCACATGTATTACTCTGCAGGCATGCCTCTTACTTGCGCGCTGTAAGAACAATACGGGATACGCAAATTTGTATCAGCAATGCTCACTTTGGACAATACCACGCTTGTTTGGAGAACCTTAGGAAAGTGCCGCAGACGACGAATTGTGCTACAACTGTACAACAGCCGCGTACAGATCTGTGATAGGCACTCTCGAAATGCCTTGTGTTCCGCATAGATGCACGATATGGGACATTGCACAAGCGCAACTGCAGCAGTTTGCATTGTATCTTGGCCCTACGTTTCCTCCAGCGGTGCAACGGGTTTTTCCGAACCCAAAAAAAGTCGCATGTTTCCTCCTAAATTTAAGAGCTTCTATGTCCTCTCTGTACTTGTAGTCAAGAACCGCTATACGGTGGTATACGGTCACGAACAGAAACCGGTCCTGTATTAAGGCTCTCAGATGTTTCAAGTTATTTCACCAGCTGACTGTCCCTCTGATACATTTATGTGTTACTAGCAAACAGATTATTGGGCCACTCATTCACGACTGCTACTTTGACTGCGCCGGGATAGTTACGATATTAAAGTTGCTTTATGCAGTAATCAAATCAATGATTCAAACAACACGTGCTCCTGGCAAAGCCTTGCATTTTAAAAGCGTTGTTCCGGGACGCGTCGGCTCCGGAGCCAGGGCCCGGGGTGCTATGCGCCGACTCCTCGCAGCCCTGCTAGCCAACGCCCTCTCAGCACCCAGGCTGCGGCGAACAATCCAGGTGACCACAGTAGCAGCTGCCGAAAGGCAGTCTGACTGGACCCGCAATGGACCCACCCTCCTGGAAGAATCCGCCTCGACGCACGGCGGGGATGATAACCTACAGCAGCTACGGCAGCTGGAGTCAGCTCTCTCCCATCACAACGACTTGTACTACAACCAGCAGCGTACGGAAATTAGGTGCGCCTTGGTGACCACATCGGGCCCGGCAAGTGCAATTAAAATCTCTCGGCGAAACGAAGTTGGAAGTATTGGCTCCTGTCCGCTCCTGGAAAATTGGCCTTCATCTCATATACAATATTGTTTTTCCAGTCGCTGACGTTCCAGCCAGCCCAAAGCCCTATCCTGGCAACCCACATCCCCTCCTACAACCCGCAGCAATTCCATCCCGCAAACCCGCTCTTTCCCCCCCCCTCCGGGCCGCCGCCCCCGCCCATTGCACCCGTCATTGCCACGACCCCACACAGCGACGCAGCGTACGACACTCTGAAGCTGCAGTACCGTCAGCTAGCGGCTCAGCTGCGAGGGGAGCTCCCCCTGGAGGAGTTGGAGCTCCCCGTGGTGGGTTCCGTTCTAGGGGTAGCTGGGAAGACGGGGACGCAAGGGCCTTTGGCGGACGTGTACGGCACGGGTTTTCATTCCAGTCATACACCACAGCCCCCTGCGCCTCCCGTAGCACCTCCCCTCGAACCACAACACTTGCCGTACACCTTCTCAGGTGCGGTTGCCGTGCCCTCCCCTGCCTTCCCCATCCCCCTCATCCCACCTGCAGTGACCTTAATGCGTCGCATTCCGGTAGTTGGCGCTGTTTGGGTGGTTCGGCAGTTGATCTTGATTTGCTCCTTCTTGCATGTGACTCCCTTCCCTAAACCCCAGGTGCACCTATGTGTAATCCCTAACCCCCTCCCCCCCTGCCCCCCCCGGGGCCCAGGGCGCCCCTCCGCCCGCCTCCGGTGGCCTCCGCAAGGTCCCCCACCGGGTTGCCATGCTCAGTCTGGCAGCGGTCAACTCCAGGGAGGAAGCGGAGACGTGGCTGGACAAAACGCTGGCCAAGCTGCAGGCCGACGCTGGTGGCGGCGGCGGCAACGATGCTGGCGGCGGCGGCGGTGCTGGCATGGTTCGCGGTGGTGGCGGCGGTGGCGGCGGTGGCGGCCAGAAGGGCGTCCAGAAGAAGAAAGCGACAAAGAAGAGCAAGACGGGTGCGGACGTCCCTGCCTCGTCGGTCGGTCGGTCGTACCGTTGGGTGATGGAACCCAAAGTGGACGGCCTTGCTGTACGGGTGCTGTATGGTCGTACGGCACATGGGACATACATACTTAAGGAGGTGAGGGCACGTATGCCGTGCTGTTGGCTGCCTGTCCCCCGGGCAGCGGATGATGTCCGTGTCTGTGCCCCGCTCTGTCCCCTCCACCTCCCCCTACCTCCCCCCTACCTCTACCCCCCATTAACTCCCCCCTTACCTCCACGTACTCCTTTCGGTCAGTTTCTACGTCTGCTACTCTCTTGTCGTGTCAGCAGCTTCAATCGTCTCTGCTTCGTCTTTCCCCTCCTACGTCCCCCGTACCTCCCCCCCAACCCTTCCCCTTACCTCCCCCTTACCTCCCCCCTACCTCCGCCCTACCTCCCCCCTACTTCCCCCCTACCTCCCGGCCTCAAGGCGGCCACGCGGGGGGACGGCTGGGTGGGTGAGGACGTGACCCACAACGCCCTGTACGGCGGTATCAACGGCCTACCGACGTGTCTGGCAGTGGGGCCCCCCGCCTCCTCCTGGAGCGATAGGATGTCGTCGTCATCATCGTCATCATCGTCATCATCATCATCATCATCATCATCATCATCATCATCATCATCATCATCATCATCATCATCATCATCGTCATCATCATCCGGCCAGCAGCCACCGCTACCGCCGCCCTCGCAGCTCGGTCGGGGTTCGCACATCGCTGCATCAATTTCTCCATCGCCGGCTGGCGCTGCCAATCATGATGGGGACGGCAACGAGTGGGAAAACGGCTCGGCTGCTTCCGCTCCAGCTGCTGACTGCGGGGCGCCGGAGTGGGTGGAAGCGCGGGGCGAGGTGTTTTGCAGGACCGCGGATCTAGAACTGGTGGGTGGGGTGGGGGCTGCAAATCCGAGCCTTCACCTAGGAGGGTATTGTATGTAACCCCGAACTCAAATTCCAACCAAATGTGATACGTACAAACATACATACATACATACATACATACATACATACATACATACATACATACATACATACATACATACATACAGGCAGGCAGGCAGGCAGGCAGGCAGGCAGGCAGGCAGGCAGGTAGGCAGGCGGCTGGCAGAGGTTAAGGCCTGACTTCTGCTCCCGGCCGACCCGGGTTCAAATCCGCCTGCCAGCTCCTCGGAGTGTTGAAATGGAAGGTGGCCCCCCATCATATGGACGATGTAGGACGTGATAATATCAACTTGCGAGCTGACCACGAACTAAGTTGATGCGCCGTTGATCCGCTAGATTTGGTTGGATGCTGGTGGTGAGTTGCCGAACCCAACGAATACATTCTGAAGTCGGGTGGGGTGACGGATTAGGGTGCCCCTCTAGCAGGGGAGAGCAGGGACTGCCCCGGGAAAGGGGGCCGCTGGCGAAGTTAACCACCCTGTAACAACATACATACATACATACATACATACATACATACATACATACATACATACATACATACATACATACATACATACATACATACATACATACATACATACATACATACATACATACATACATACATACATACATACATACACACACAGGTCAATAGGGAGCAGGAGGCCGTCGGGCAGCCACCCTTCGCCAACACGCGCAACGCCGCGTCTGGTGCCGTACGACTTCTCGACCCGGCGGAGTGCCGCCGCCGCCGCCTTAGCTTCGTGGCGTATGCGGCGCTGGCTCCGTCACCCCCGCCGTCACCGTCACAGCAACGGCGGCCAGAGCCGGCGACGACGACACCGCCCCCCTCCTCCTCTTCGCCACCTCCTTACCCCTCGTCGCCCTCCAATCGGTCCTCCGGAAACGCCGCTGCCGTACAGCCGCTCCACCCCAGTCAGTGGGACACACTGCAATGGCTCAAGGTAGGTGGGGAGGTCGGTAGGGATGTGTGGGGGGGTAGAGATGGAGGTGGGGAGGTGGTTAGTCGGCCGTCCTGCCTGCCTACCCGCATGTTAGTGGCTCTAACCCGTCCCCAACCACCAACCACCTCCCAACCACCTCCAACCACAAGCTCCCCCCGCCCCCAACCTCCCCCCAGTCCGCAGGTTTCTCAGTCAGTCCTGACAACCGGTTGTGTGACTCCAGGGAGGAGGTGTTGGGGGCGGTGGAGGAGTGGATGGAGAAGAGGGCGACACTGGGTACGAGCCGCAGGGAGACGGGGGGGGGAGAGAGGGGGGAGGGGAAGGGGGAGACCGGGCACCCGGCCAACCCACATAGCACTCCCCCTCCCCAGCCCAGCTGGTCGCTCGATGCCTCTTCCCGGGGGTGGGGGTGGGGGTGGTAAGCTGTTTTCCCGTACTCCCCGCGTAAATCCCCTTTCTTCTCCACCTGGGGCTCCGTTGCCCCGGGCTGTGTCTCAAACCACATGTCCACCCTGGCTTCCCGCACATTCTTTTTCCTCCTCCCCCCCTTGGGGCCCGGACTAGGATAGTCGGGTCGGTCGGGTCGGTCGCGCGTTTTTTTGGGGGTTTGGGAGGAGCACTTGCATACCGACAGCTTTTCATTACCAGCAAATCAGCTAGTTCTCCAGGCCAGCAGCAAACTTTATTCCAGCTTTACGACAGCAGTGCTTTACTACTTCTCCGCCGCCTCTACACCTACTTTTCTATACCTACTTCTTTACGGCTTCGTATTACTGCTTTCTCTGCGTTTTTAGTCCTGGCGGCTTAGGTAGGTAGTTTTTCCGACATCTTCTTCACAACTTCATCCCGAGGTCGCCGTCGTCACGGACGCCTTTTGGTCAGTTCTACGTCTGGTACACTCTTGCCCTGGCAGCAGCCTCACTCGTTTGTGGTTCGTCTTCCCCCCCTTGGGGGCCGTCCTACGTTGTGTATAGGTTACGATGCGGACGGTGCCGTGATCAAGTTGGATGATACGACGCTGTACGACATCCTGGGTACGGCAGGCTCCGATCCTCGCTGGGCTGTGGCTTGGAAGTTCCCCGGGGAGGAGGCTGTAACCCGGGTTACGGGGGTGGAGCTCACCGTCGGGCGACAGGGCCAGGTGTGCGTGTGTGCGAGTGTGTGTGTGTGGGGGGGGGGGGTAAAGCGCTGGTGGGTTTCAGATAGCGTATGTCCCGCAACCCTCAACAGACGAGACCCGAGGTGCGCCATTAAGTAGGTGTTTAGTGTAGGTGTGTGTGTGTGTGTATAAGGGGGGGGATAGGGGGTAGGATGAACCACTGGCAAGTGAGGCGAGTGGAGTGAAGGGATTATGGGGGGAAGGGGGAGAGGTAAGGGGGGTTAGGGCGGTCTGGGAACCTCCATCTCCCACCACCCCGTGAACCCCCCTCCTTCCTGACTCAAACAACACTGCCGTACTGCCTCCCGCTCTTGGCCTACTGCTTTGAACGGTACCATTCCTTGGTTGGTTGCGCCACCAAACGCGAAGGGGCGGGCGCCACATAACATCGTACCAGCATTTATTCCTTCAAGCACGTCCCCTTTCCCCACCAACTCCCATCTCCTGCTTCAAATGGGCGGCGGCTGTACGGCTGTACGGCTGTTCCAAGAACCCAGATTACCCCGGTAGCGCTGCTGAGCCCGGTGGTGGTGGGCGGTGTCACCATTCGTCGCGCCAGCCTCCACAACCTGGGTTTGGCACGGGCTCTGGGACTGCACCTGCCCGGGGACGCCGTGGTGGTGCGGAGGAGTGGAGACGTCATACCGCAGGTGGAGGGGGGAAGGGGGAAAGACGAACCACAAGAGAGTTAAGGTGGAGAGAGTGAAGGAGGGGGAGGGGGAGGGCGCGGCCTAAGAGCAAAGGGGTAGCTTGCGCACATTGGCATGCATGGGCATCGGCCCCATCCACCCCTATCCACCCCCACCCATACATCCTGGTTATTGGGTTGGTTGAGGTAAGGGCCGCACGTTGTGCTGTTTCGTCTCGTCGCAGCCAATCTGCCCCTTCCCTACCGCTTTTCTACACCTTCTTCCTCCCCGCCCCACCCCCACCCCCCCCCCACACACACACAAATACACACACTCCCTCTCTCCCCCATATCTGCCCCCCCCCCCCGGTAGGTGGTCCGGGTGCTCCCCGAGTTGCGGCCCCCGGGTGCAGAGCTCTGGCAGCCCCCCTCCGCCTGCCCCGCATGTGGAGGACCCCTAAAGGCCATCACGGCGCCGGCGGCGACGACGGCGACGGCGATGGCAGAGGGGCGGGGGGGAGATGGGGAGGGCGGCAGTAGCGCTAGGGGCCCGGAGCCAGAAGGTGTTGGAAGTGGTGGTGGGGTTGGTCGTGGTGGGGGTTGGAAAGGCCGAGCCGGCAGGGGCCCGCGGGAGGCCCCCACAGCAACAACAATAACGACGACGACGACGACGACGGCCAACATGGGCGGCAGTGGGGGTGGGGGTGGGGGTGGCGAGCAGCTAGCGTGTGACAACCCCAACTGCGCGGCCAAATCAGAACGAAGGGTGAGAAGTAGGTCGATGGGAAGAAGGGTGGAGTGGGGTTGGGAAGGGGGGAAAAGAGGGGAGGAGGTGGCTTGACTGACCGGTGGGTCGAGTGAAGGGGGTTTGGGGGGAAAGGAGGAGGAGGAGTGAGTTCGTGTGTGTGTATGTGTGTACGGGGTTAGGGGACCCCAGTAACGAAGCTTGGGTTGGTTTCTCTCGTCCCGCACCGAGCCAACCTCTTCCCCGCCCAGTGCCCCCGGAGTGGACCAGTGCCCCCAGTAACCAGTCACATCTCCTTCAACGAGGTTGCCGCCGAACGTCAGCTCGTGGCTGATCGTGGGTGTGTTTGCAGTCCTCCCCCCCCTTCGCTCCCTCCCTCCTTCCCCCCCCGAGCTTCTTCGGTATATCGCGTTGGCGTCGGTCGGCTAGCCGGACTAGGGTAGTCGGGTCGGTCGGGTCGGTCGCGCGTTTTTTGGAGGGTTGGGAGGAGCACTTGCATACCGACAGCCTTTCAGTACCAGCAAATCAGCTAATTCTCCAGGCCAGCAACTTTATGCCAGCTTTACTACTTTTCCGCCGCCTTCACACCTACTTTTCTACACCTATTTCTTTACGGCTTGGCAATACTATTTCTTCTGCTTTTTTTAGTCCTGGCGGCTTAGGTAGGTAGTCTTTCCGACATCTTCACTTCGTCATCCCGAGGTCGCGGTCTTCACGGACGCCTTTCGGTCAGTTCTACGTTTGATACACTCTTGCCCTGGCAGCAGCTTCAATCGTGTGTGGTTCGTCTTTCCCCCCTCGCCCTAAGTTACATTCTTCCCTCCCTACCGCCCCTCCCCCTCCCCCTCCGCCGCAGATGCTTCACTTCGCCCAGGTATGTCTGTCCGGCAGTGGTGTATCCCGCGGGGTGGTGGGCCAGCTGCTGGAGGTGGGGCTGCTGGACGGGGACATATCGGACTGGTACAAACTGGACGAGGCGAGTGTCGGGGAGTGCTCGGGGCTAGGGGTTGGGAGGTTGGGTGGCAGGGTAGGGGTAGGGGGGGGGGGAGGGAGGGAGGGAGGGAGGGAGGGAGGGGTAGGGTGGCAGGGGTAGGGGTAGGGGGGAGGGAGGGAGGGAGGGAGGAGGGAAGGGGGAAGGGAGGAGGGAAGGGGGGAGGGAGCCCGACGTATTGACTTGCTGCAGCAGCAACAGTAGTCGTGAGAGGAGGAGGAGGAAATTTGGGTTGGGCTCAGGGTGATGTGATGTTGGGAGGGGGGTTGGAGCCGAAATATCGCATTAACGATTCTTCTATTCGGTGATCTTTTTCGTTTCTTTTTTCTTTTGCGCCTTGGCCCCCTTATGGCTGCTGCTGCAACCCGGGGTGTGTGGTGTGGGTGTTCTGTACCGACCAGGCCTCTCTGTCCGCCCTCCCCGGCTTCGGCCCCGCCCGCACCGCCGCGCTGATGTCCTCCCTGGAGTCATCTCGCCACATGTCCCCCGGGACCCTCCTGAGGGGCCTCAACATACCCCGGGTGGGGGAGGTGGCGGCGGAGGCACTGGGCCGGGCCTTCCCCTCCCTCGAGCTCCTGGCGGCAGAGGTGCCGTACGCGGACCGCATCGCGGCAGCAGCAGGTAGCTGGGTTCACGGGTTGGTGGAAGGGCACGCGTGGGTGTAATGCTGCCCGATGTGCGATGTTGCGTGTCTGTCTGTCTGTCTGTGTGTCTGTCTGTGTGTGTGAGTGGGGGCGAGATGTGCGGGGGGTTATCCGCTTTTCTTTCCTCAGTGCCCCCTCCGGGTGCGGGGAGGGAGCGTGTGGGTCATTGGTGGCGGAGGAGGAGGAGGGAGGAGATGATGAGGGGGGGAGGGAGAGGGAAGCCGGACCACGTGAACGAGTGAAGCTGATGCCAAGAATAGGCTGATACACTGGAAGTAGGTAACTAGGAGTAACTAACCAGAGAGAGCAAGGGTGCCGTCCCGGTCTGTCAGGTGCGTCTTGCTCATGCGCTCCTGGCTGAGCCACGTGGCAGGTCATGACGCCTCCTCCCTTCGGGGACCCCGTCCCTCCCACTTGCTCCTCTCCTACTCACCACCCCCCCACTACTCCCCCCCCCACACACCTCCCCACCCCGTCAGGAGTGGCCCCCTCAGTCGCCCGCAATGTGGCGAACTGGTTCCAGCAGCCCGCCAACCAGCGCCTCCTGGCAAGGCTGAGGGAGGCGGGGGTGCGGTGCATCACCGGAAACACCATCACCACTGCTGCAGCCGCCGCAGCCGTTAGCACCGCCAGCACCGCTGCGCCAGCACCGTCTCCGCCATCTCGTACGGAGATAGCGGGCACGGAGGCGACGGAGGAGCAGGAGGAGGGGCCTGAGAGGGCTCCGGGAGACGGGGGGAGGGGGGTTGCGGAGGATGTGGCAGTTGGCCGCGGTGGTGGTGGTGGTGGCGGCGGCGGCGGCGGCGGCGGCAGTGGCGGCCGTTCTGCGGGTCCCCGTCTTGTGGGGTTGGAGGGGATGCGGGTTTGCGTGACAGGCACGTTAATGGTAAGGAGGAACCCCTTCTTGTGGGTAAGGGAAGGGCGGTTACTGGGGTGAAACTGCCTCCTGCCCGTACGGTGGCCCTGATCGAGTGACGGCCTCAGTGGCGGCGATCTGGGTGGAAATCCGATATGAATTTGAATGATTCCCTAAGCCGATGGCGGTAATTATTAATTCCTGAGCCCGTACAACTTAAGATGCACATAGGCCGCGCGCTTGTCGTCGTTGACCCCCCGGAACGGGCGGACTTGGCGGCACAGGCGTGGGGACGATGTAGAATGCACCCGGAGGAGGGCGAGCGGGGCGGGCTGGAAGCGGGTTTCGTGCTCTGCCCGCCCCTCCTTCACCCTGATGTCAATTCCCCTCCTGGACCTCAGCCAGCCTTGCCTATCCGGCTTCCCCGCCCTGTTTTAACTGTCGCGCACGCACGCAGGGCCCATATGGCAAGGGACTGGTGCGCAACGAAATGCGGGTGGGTATGCGGGTGCAGCGGGGTGGGGTGGGGTGAGGGAAATTGCTGCTGCCTCGCTTAAAGCGCAGGGGCGCTGTACTGCCCTGCCTAAGAGGCCCTGGCTATGTTGCCCTTGCAATAGGCTATAGGGGGCGGGAAGGACGAGGAGGAGGAGGTAAGGGCGTCATGCAATTAGATGAGGCCCATCTAGCGAGAGGTCCTGTGAGCAGCTGTCCTTGTGCGACCCCCGGGTCGGTCATCATTGGGGCGCCATGTAGGACATGGACGGCGTGCGGGTCCCTGCTGGGTTTCATGGGGCCCCCCCGCCTGTGTCCTAAACCGACCGATAATGATGTGTTTTCTGTGTATGTATGTATGTATGTCCTCGGTGATGGTGCCACCGCAGCGCATGTTGGAGGCGGCGGGTGCGGAGTTCCACTTAACAGTCAAAAAGGACACGCAGGTACGAGAGGGGGGGCCCTGAGGGGCTGAGGGGTTATGGACTAGAGGAGTGGAAATAAGACGACAAAACCTGGGCTACACTATCATGTGGTTGTGCAGCTGGGCTGCTTTAAATACCCCGCACTGCGCCACCGCCTCTTGACCGACAGACTGCCTTGCGCTTCCCCTCGCCCTCGCTCCTGCCACCATTGGTAATTGGAGTTTCAAACGCCGACTCAGCCGCCTCGACCCTTCCCCCGGGGCAATCGTCGCTTCGGACGTCGGCAGTTGATTTTGTACCTTTTGTGCATCCTCATATGATTCCCGCCGTCGCCTGGTAGTATAATGCTGTCGCGACCGAGTGAGGCCCACCGGAGGTAACATTTTCGTTCGGCCCCCTCCCCTCCCTTCACCTCCTCCCTCCCTGGACAGGTCCTGCTGGCCGGTACGGGGGCTGGGGAGCGCAAGACGCGTAAAGCGGCTGCCAGCGGCCTCCTGGTGATGGGGGAGCGGGAGTTCCTTCAGCAGTTCTGGTCGGAGGGAGGGGAGCCGCCCGGGGCCGCTTGAGGGCTGCGGCAGGGAATCCTATGTGTGTGTATGTACGTTCGTATGTGTGTGCATGTGTGTGGAGAGGGAATCGCAGGCTTGGGGCCTGGCGGGCAGGCTGGCTGGCTGTGTGCGTCAATTTCCCGGTAGTTGATGTTGTTACAGGGTGGTTAAGCTTCACCAGTGGCCTCCTTCCCGAGGCAGTTCCCTGCTCTCCCCTGCTAGAGGGGTACCCTAATCCATTCACCCCATCCGACTTCAGAGTGTACTCTTTGAGTTTGGCAACTCACCACCAGCATCCAACCAAATCTAGCGGATCACCGGCGCGTCAACTTAGTTCCTGGTCAGCTCGCAAGTTGAGTTTATCACGTCCTACACCGTCCACAAGATGGGGGGCCACCTCCCATTTCAACACCTCTCAAACACCCCGAGAGGTCGGCAGGCGGATTTGAACCCGGACGCGCCGGGAGCAGAAGTCAGGCCTTAACCTCTGCCAGCCGCCTGCCTGGTAGTTGTGTTGGAGAGATGGAGCAGCGTCGCTTTGCATGGAAAGCTGTGCGTGATTTCTTGGGATCTTGCATCTGGGGGTCGCAGCCTGCGGTGCGCTAGTATAGTGGGCGTGGATTGGTTTGGTGGGGTGCGGAGGCTAGGGGGGGCTTTGGGTGATTGACTTGGGGCTTGGGGAAAGGGGAAAGGGTTGCAACAGAGCGGCTGCTGCTGTGGGAAGCATGATCTATGTTGAAGGTTCTAAGCAGCCCTGTTTACCAAAAGTTGGGGGAGGTGCATGGAACATATGGTTGCTGTGCTCCTCTGGCCTGACATTGGCACGGTTTGGGTTATGGTCAACTTAATCGTTGATCGCTGACCATGAACCTGGACGACGGGACGGATGGCCTCATGATGTGTAAGTACAGGTTGAGTTGCCATTTGGCACCAGGGCACTCGACGCGGACCTTCCATTGCTGGGCGGGGTTCCCGGGGTTCTCTGGCGTGCGCGTCCGGATGCCCCTCTTTTCGGCACGGCGAGTTGAGCGAACGTGTGGCAAAAGTGTAACCTAGGTTCGATGATAAAATGCTACTGTAATGAAGGCGATAACCTGGAGCTGGCGCTGACGGCTCTTGCGCTGCTCTTGCGTCTCCTGGCCTTCAAAAGCGACGGTTTCGCACGCAGTAAGATGTCCACGTTTTACTGAGGGAAGAGGAGATAAATCCTTAACAATAGATCAAATGTAGCTATGCATGCGCATTGAAACGCTAAAGGAGCCAGTGTCGTTCCGTCAAATGCAAATGGACTCGCCAGAGAGAACCTCACGGACTATGACTCCGCCGCAACCACACGTCTCAAGCAGTCCTTCGGCAACAGCAATATCTAACTGGAGGAAAGGTATCGCTCTTGGCATGACGTACGGTACGTGTGCGCTTCTTTGCCTTTACTTTTGCAGTTTCCTGCCTATGCACACATGAACTGAAGCGTTTTTTTTTATCGTGGCAATAGTTGTGTTGAGTTATGTAGAATTATCATGGCAATTAACCGGAACCCCAAGTTGCAGAGTTCGGGAGTGTCCGTCGGAACGAATCGTTGAAAATGGCCAGAACGGAGAAAGCTGAAAACGGGAAGGCCAAAGCCCTGGCCACGGCTTCAACGCTCCAAAAGGTGCTATGGGACATGGGACATGACCCGACTCAGCAGCAGGACATGTAGTGGCGCTGATCGTTCGGTTGACAAAGTTGGGGTTAAGTGCCCATATCCCTCTTGGTATGCTACATTTTGCTTTAAATCCACGATTCAGGTTGTCTGCCCTGCACCGGAGCGGGACCCCCAAGAAATTTTGAGCCATGGCTGGCGCAAGGTCGGCGAGCAGAAGCGGGTCACAAATCGACTTGCTAATGGCAATCCAGATCGCGGTGCGTAGAGCAGCGTGGACTGGCCTTTTCCCCTTAGCTTCCCGCCCATATTTCCGTGGCCGCGACGCGACGCCTAGCCACTCTGGTTCCGCAGCTACCTTTGCCCTTCCCCACCACGCCTCCGTGCGACTTCACCCACCGCTGCCCCGCAAAATAGATGGCTCCACATTTCCATACGCTCTGCAGGCATGGGAATTAGCTCCCGCATGCCGTCATTCTTTGAGCCCTCCGACCGCCGCAAGCAACAAAACGGCCGCCAGGTGCTCGACAAGATGTTTGGGCACATGAGGCCTCACCACATCATCACCGCCACGGCGGTACTACGTAACGAAGATGAGGAGCTGGAAAACGGACTTGTGAGTGTGCGCGTATGTGTGTATGTGTGTAGATGTCGCGATGGAGGCGGACTCGGTTAGGTGCGCGGGTGTGGGCAGTGTGTGAATCCACAGTCGCCCGCCTCTTGAACCACCACCACCACTACCACTGCCAGCGCTGCCACGGCGCTCCCCATCCATGCAGGCCCAACATTCCCCCGAGAAACCCCACACCCTTGGGTGGCATTATCCTTGCCCTCCCCGTTGGCCGTTTGGGTAACGTGTTCAGCTCGCAGGTGGTCCCTTTCTAAAACACAACCACGACACGATCACGCAACCGCGCACACCCGCAGGGCACCCAAGCTGCCAGGGCTGCGTTCTTCCGTCCTGCCATCGCCCCCGTGTTGAACGAGCTCACCACGCCACCGAACCACCACCACCAGCACCACCAGCACCAACAGAACCACCAACAGAACCGCCAACAGCACCCACAGCACCACCACCGGTCACCGGTGGAGGCGCTGGGGCTGGGCGCGAACGCCACCACCACCACCGCCACCACCAACAACAATAACGACAACACTTCCGCCGCCCACGCAAGCGCCCACGTGGGCTTTAGCTCAAGCGCCAACACCGCGAGCAGTACCGGCAGCGCGGTGGCAGGTGCAGCTGCAACTGCAGGTGGTTGGACGGACGGCGGCGCGGCATCACCGGCTGCTCCCGCATCGCCGCACCCAATGCACGCCGCGGCCCCAGCCGGCCCGCACCTTCAGTCGCTGGCGGCTCTGCCCGCCGGGTCCAAGACACCTCTCGGTGCGCACCGCGTATCTCATGAGCCGTACGGGGCCCCGAGGTACTCGGGTGCAACACACCCCCCGGGGACTCGGGGGAAACAACTTGGTGACCGCATGGTACCTGAGGAGGGGGGCAGAAGCTGTCCGTGGTATGGCGTGCAATGTGGTACTGTGCTGCACTGCTATGAAAGGGGGATCTATTTTATCCTTACCTTCATGCGTGATGTTATTAGGGCCCCGTTGTTGCGGCTATCGGGGCCTGTCGGGGTGGGATCTGGTGACGACGTTTTCGACAATGTGCGTGTGGTGGTTGTGTGTGTGGTGTTGGTTGCTGGGTGCAGGGCAAGGCGACGGCTCGGACTCCAGCAGCGGCGGCAGCGCGGATGTGGACGCGGCTGGTGGCTGTGGTGGCGGCGGCGAGGGTGACGATAGCAGCCGGACGTTGGGGTCGCTGGGACTGCATGGAGGCAGTAGCCCCAACTCGGCGTCCTTCTCACGGCGGCTCGGAGGCGCCGCAGCGACTCAGTTCATGCGGCAGGAGAGCACCTTGCGCCGGGTTTGCAGTGGGCTTGGACTTTGCAGCCCCACCGTGTCAGGCGGCTCCGTTACCGGCGGCAGTGGCGCTGCGGTTAGCGTCCGCAGCGGCGGCAGTAGCACGAACATTTCCTTAGCCAGCGGCCTCATGCTGAGTCCGCGTACCGGCATCGGAGTCGGGGATGTCCGGCGCGGCGCGCTGCCTGCCGTCTTTCGGTCGTACCCCAGCGACAGCGGCGCTGCTGCAGCAGTTGCGGCGTCACCGGGATCGTGCAGTGAATCGCCGCGTCTACCCGCGGCGTTGGGTGCGATTGCCGCCGTCGCTGCCGCCGCCGCCGCCGCTGACAGCAGCAATGCGTCGCCCCGCCGCCAGCGCCGCGCAAGTATCAGCGGGGATACAGCCCTCCCGGCCATAGGGACCGGAGGCGGATTCGGGGCAGCAGGGGCCGGCGGCGGTGGTGGCAAGGCGCACGTGGTACGAGGCCGCCGAGCTTCCCTCACGGGCGGCCAACTCCCCGGCGGAATGGCTGCCGCCATCATGCACCTCCACCCTCGCCGTACCTCCTTGACGGGCGCCGTCGGGGGAGGCAGCGGTGCCGGTGCCGTACATGTGGCCGTACGGGCCAGTCACAACGGCGCGTACCATGGTGGCGGCGGCGGCGGTTATGGCTCGCCGTTAAGACTGGCAGGTCGTGGTGGTGGCGGCGGCGGCAGGGGTGACATGCATGAGAGCCCCAACAGCCCGGTACCCGCAGCTCTAACGGCCCCGGGGCCTCGTGTTGCTTCCCATCTGTCAGGCGGGGACGGCCATTCGGGCTCGATGGTACACGGGCATCTGGCCGGCAGCTTCCGGATTGGCGGCAGCGGAGGCAGTGGCGGTGTGACTGCTGACGTGGCGGCAGCGCCTGCTGCACCAGGGGCGGATGCATTGAGTGGCGTGATACCGCCGGCTGCTGCCGTCCACCCTGCCTTACCGCTCAGCGGTCTGGAGGACCTGGCGGGGACGGGGCTGGCGGACGCCATCTCAGAGCTCCGGAAGATCCGTATGGGGGGAGTGGTGGTGGCGCCTCGGGAGAGGAAGGTCGAGCCAGGTGCGGTGCGAGGTGGTGCGCGAGGTGGTAGCCGCAGCAGGCGCAGATCAGCAGAGGCAGGAAAGGCAACAGAGCAGTGGATTAACTATTGCTGCTTTTGCTGTGAGGGATTTGAATCCAAAAACGCCGCTTCTTGTTTCTTGCGAGCGTTGCTCTTGTACTGCTGAATTCTTGTTTCGCAAGCACGATGCTTGATCATGCGGAGGACAGCAGCAGCAGCAGCAGCAGCAGCGGGGTTGTACGCACGGGGTTTCCAGAAGAGGTCCCCCAAGACCTCAGTGAGCACTCCGACGGGTGGGGTTGATGGTAGGTGCCTGAGTTGACAGCCTAGGCCACCAGCCATCTGTCGTAAGGCCTGAGGGCCATGTCTCTCCTCCAAAGCTTTCCATGCCGGGTCCTCAACGACGGCCGCCGATCGCTGCATTGCTGCTGCTCCTTCCCCCCCCCCCCCGGAACCCCCCGGCAGGTCTGGCAGGTGTGTCCCCTCTGCAGCTGCTGGCGGTGCCCCTGCCCCCCCTGGACAACTGGCAGTCGGGCGGCCGGCAGATCGCGGACCTGGACCCGTGCAAGGGCATCCGTTTGGTGGATACTGCCAACTGCGTGCTGCCCAGACCCACCGCGGAGGCCAATCTGCAGGTCGTGGGAAGGAGGGGGGAGAGGCCGGGGGAAAGGAAAGAGGGGAGGGAGGAGGAGGAGAAAGGGCGTGAAGTTAAGGGACGGGCAGCTGAACCCGGGAGCACTGAATACCAATGTGTGTGTGTGTGTGTGAGGCGCGGGAGTATTTGTGCAAGTAGGGGTGGTAGTGACGAGTGAGGACGTTGGTCGTGTGGCTACGTGTCTATTTGCATGTATGTGGCGTTACTGTCAGGAGTCCCACCCACTTTGAAAGTAACCCGCGTTGTGGATGTCACTTGCTTACAGCTCGTGCTGTGATGTGCTGGCGCCATGCCACCGTGTTTTACTCCTTCGGCTGACCCATGTGGTGACGTGATGCCGCTGTCGCATGTGTGGTTTTAAACAGGTCCGTATGGCTCAGCACCAGGCCGCCATGCGGCACCTGGTGAAGGCGGAGGGGGCGCCCATGAGCGAGATCGAGATGGATGCTGCCAAGCTGCTGGGCCGACTGGAGCGCAGCGGGGCACGGCACCGCAACCTGGAGTCCATGAACAGCGAAAAGGAGCCCCTGGGACCACCACGAGGAGAGGACGTTGCGGGGTCATGAGGGGCGATGGGGGTGGGAGAGCGCTCCCTGCAGGTGCGGAGGGTGGTGGATGCAGCGCCGGTGCTGGTGGGAGCCCTGAGGCGGATCAGAACCTACCTAACCCTCCGAGGAGTGCGGTACGTATACGGTGTGTGAGAGGCAGGGGTGCAAGTGAGGGGGAGATGGCGTGGCAGGAGAAGGGCAGCATCTTGCCTTACCTGGAAAGGGTGTTCAGATAATTGCGAATGATTATGAGATTTGTGAAATTGTTGCGATGCACGGATATGTACAGCTGCGTCGTATTGCCAGCTTTTATGTGCATCGTGTGGCGCATGGCATAGATTGAGCTCAGGGCATTCAGGTCGCGACGTCGAGGTGAGGTTCTTTCTATCGTGTAGTTCAAAGGACAAAAGGAAATGCGGGTGCGACAGTAGGCGCAACTGCCCAGTAGTGCTGTGCATGTGCTGAGGGAATGTGTACGTAACATATCCATACTTATATAGACCTGTTGTAGCACCAGATCGCCTCTGCACATCACCCGTGGTGGGCGGCAAGGACTAAAATCCTGGTATAGTGATATAATGTGGCGCGTGCCATAGCGTCACTAAGTGCAGCAGCGGTTGCTTTGGGGGTTAGGTTGAAGGGCGAAGTTTTGTGCCGCCCAGCTTTGGGCGCTCTCTGTTCCCTTTCTCGGCACGTTGCGAGGTGCTTGCTGTGCGTATTGCGTATATGTGCACGTCGTCATGAAATAGTGCACATCTTACGCGTTGTGCTGATGATGGGGGATTTCATGTTTGGGAATTGTAGGGGCCACATTCATTGGTTGGCTCCCAATATGCAGAGGGGGCAGGCGGCTGATAGGAGGGATGGCGGCGAAGTGTGGTGTTGATGGCTCGTGGCATGCAAGGCTCGATTTCGTGGCGTCACGCGAGGCTCTTTTTATTATGTTTGTTCATGCTGATACGTAGCTTTACATAACAGTACTGAGAACAGTACTGAGAGATCAAGTCGGTAGTTTGCCATGGCATGTTTATAGTATACACGGCGCTCCATAACATTCCCGGTGCACCGTCCATTTACATGCGCATACTGGAACAGAGCCCTGTCCCACAAAGAGCCATTCGTATATATACGCGAATGGCAAACATCTGGCATCATGATGGGTGCTTGTGTTGTTGGTTGAACCACGGTGTTCCAGCAGTTGGAACTTAAAAGAGGGCTGAGGACAACGCCACTGCATGAGCAATGCGGAAACGGTGCATCGGCAGGAATGCGCAGTCCCTGTAGCGTATCCTGTTGATGTGAGTGGGGTTGTCACATGATTGGCGAAATGATTCGCGACCTGTGGCTCGCTGGTGGTTGCTGCAGCTACTGCCGTTGGCTAGGGAGCTGACGTGCACTGCGAGGTTGCGGAACCAGTATTTCGGGCGCGACCTGCATTTTTGCAGATACGACACTGACCGGTTCGCAGGGTGGTTAATGAGATTAATCTGTTGGTATATTACAATAATTTAGTCGTTGCAATAAGACGGCTAGAGACATCCGGATGCTATGCGCATGCCGTTGGAATAGATGGCAACGAGAGTTGGCATGGAGGAAAACAGTCAATACTTCTTTCATGATAAGAGACGGCCCTCATGTCGTAGCCCGACCGATGCACCTTCGAATGGTGCCTTAGACTGTACAGGTGGCAAAGGCGCACTACTGGCAGGCAGGCGTGTGGCTGAGTAGGACGTTTGACCTAGACCCCGTCAGTATTCCTTCGTCCACGCCAAGCAGATCGGTGGCTGCATGGTGGGACATCCTAACTTGTACTAACTAAAGACAATTGCATCGTCAGTTCGTGCCAGTGGCCGTGCATGTAGTAACCATGGGCGTCGCAACGTCAGATGCAACACCGCACGGAGCCCGGAGTTCAGTACTTGTAACCCTGGTGCGGGGAATATCTACACGTCCAGCACAGATGTGGCACGTGCCCCCACTTGCATGGTAAATGTAGTACAGCTCGCTATGTAGCGTAGTGGAGTTTGGTGTTTGTGCATGCTGGATCTGGGTTACGCAGTCCGGCGCATTACGGCGTGAACCGCCTCGAAACGTTGCATGGACATGCGGCAACTCGAGAAACCCCCCAAACCGAAGTCACGCATGTTCGCGTGAAGCACACTCAGTCGTGCCCTCCTGAAGTCGCTACCCTACTCCGACGCATCCACGCACAAATCCAACCACAACGTGAAACCAACGGTGCATCCGGGCGCTTTGTGCCGTATAATTTGACCGTACTTCCCGCGCAAGAAAGCCATACGTATGCATACACCACGCAAGAAAGAAAGTTATTCTCCTCCGGCAGGCGCAACCGCAAGGCACCACAAACCCGCAGGGGACACTGGTTGGATCATTGTACTGCATTGCATCACACTCAACCCAGATACGAAACATGTACAGAATATTGCCCTTGAAAGCATTTCCCATTTCCTCTTTTGGGGATCAACGGATGTTGTTCAACGTAGTCTGTCACACTGCGGCTAGGACTTGCACTGTGGCACAAACCCCGTCATAGGCAAAGCTCAAACATTGGTGCATGCTCAGAAGACCCCGTTTGGCGCCTTGGTAAAACGTACAAGTGACTATGTCTGTGCTCGTCCCGAACCGGAGAGGGATGCGCTCTTCCAGGCACGTTAACTTCGCTACACGTCCTCCCTAAGAAGTGTACAACAAGTGATGTGCAACACCACCCTCACTGCTAGCTGCGCGCGCGCGCTCCCACGGTGCCCAACGTTGCTCCCGCTGGCATGCCATGTTACCCAACCAATTGCTCACAACCCGCTGTCCGCGTGTTAAAGAGCTTTGCACGTTTCGCATTCTCTCGACCCACCAGATACCTTCCAGCTATTCCGGATCCCCTGTCCTAGCCTGCATACCTGAGCCCAGAGCGCACCTCACGTCTTACGATGGCTTCCCTGCCCGGTCCTGGCGAAGGCTCATCGCCTGGGCTTTACTCCAGCTCAGCTGCTTGTTCGCTGCTTACGCTAGCAGTCGCACTGCGAACCTGCATGGCCACCGTCTGTGCGCCAATCAGCTCCATGAGCTTGCTGTGCAACTGCCGGTTCTCATTCCCCATAGTCCGCATCGCCTGTGCGCTCGTCTTTTGCGCCATCTGCGCGCGACAAAAGAGGGGGAAAGACGAACCACAAACGAAAGGGGGGAGGGCGTCAACAACTGGATAGGCCTCGACGCAGCAAATGCATTTGCATAATGAATTGAGCTCGGGTTCACCGGAACAGGCCGTGAAGCACAAGCACTAGGGAGTTCGGTGTGGTAGCCCTCCTTAAGGAATGCCAACATGGTAACTAGTATGAAAGGAAGTCAGCCTCACGTTAAAACAGCGTAACCGCTGTTGCATTTCGCAGCGCGCAGCTACTCAATCACGCATCTTCCCATAAACCTGTTCAGACACCTGGGGAATGCCAGTCCTAGAACCCCCGGTTCAAATCAAGCTGGTCATCTCCCCAGCACACCTGCGCCGCTTGGTACTTATCCCGTAGCTCCGCATTTTCTTTCTGTAGAGCTTCCAACCGCGCTGCTAGGCTATCCATTCCGCCACCTGCGGCAGCCGCCGGAGGCGCCGCCGCCGCCGCTGCAGTGCGACCTGCCGCCACTCCCCTTAATAGCTTCGCCAGTTTGCGATTTTGTGCGCTCAGCAGCGACATGTATGAAACCGCGCGCGCCAACATCTCCGCACGCCAGTGCGATGACCCGGCGGCTGCCATCGCCATCGAGTGCAACTCGCCTTCGCTGCGGGCGGTAAGCGGCACCTGCGCCAGCTGCATACCACCCGCTTCACCAGACGACGTCAGTGCCAGCACTCGCGGCACCGACGCGCTATTGCCATCAGCCGTGTGGCGGCGGCTGCCACCTGTACTGGCACCACGGCTGCGGCTTCCATTCCCAGCACCGCCGGCACTGCTGCTTCCGCCTTCACCGACCTTAAGCAGCTGCAGCATCTCAGCCCACAGCCGAGCCTCATCTTCACTAAATGTCCCTGCGCTGCCGTCGGGCTGTACCGCACAACTGCTACCCCGGCGGCGGCTGTCCACCCCTTCCTGCTCCACGCCCACGGACCACCCGGTCGTGCTGGGATGATCGCCGCTGCGGATGCCAGCCCCCTCAAGGTGGATGCATCGGCTGTTGCTGTTCAGAGGACGAGAAAACTCCGCGTGAAGAAGTTCCAGGCGAAGGCCCTGTACGCCCGCGCTGTTCGGCGTCGCTGTTGGCGGTGGCATGTGGCCCGGCGCAAGGCCAGAGCTCATGGCCGAGCTGGCCGGCCAGCCAGCTGATGGTCCCGCAGCTGCCGTACCTTTATTGTAGCAACCACCACCGCAGCCACCGCAACTGTCAACGCTATTTCCGCAAAGATCACCGCCACCGCCGTCGCGATCCGTCGTGGGGCACGCCTCCCCAATGGACGAAGTGCTGGCGTGGGATTCCCGGTACGTGGACTGGCCACCATCGTGTAGACCATGGGCTGCAGGTCCCTCCCATTGCTGACCTGCACCGGCCGAGGGCCAGGGGTTGCCATACACATGACTTGCCGGTGTTTGGCCATGGGGGCCTCCGTAGCTGTGCGCTTGGCCGTGGCTGCGGTAGCCGTCGGGCCCGGCGCTGTGGCTGCTGCTTAGGTAGCCGCGCTGTCGCTCCTGGTGGCTCACCACGGCAGCGGCGGCGGTGGCTGCCGCCGCTGCAGTCGTGGTCGCCCGGTCCAGTTGTTGCCGAAGCTCCGCGTTGATTGCCTCCTTCTCCGCAATGAGGACCTCCTGCTCGCTGCACTGCTCCGCCAGCTGCATATTGACGCGGTGCTGCGACTCCACCTGGAGCTGCGTACCAAGTCCCATCAACAATAATGACAGGGTGCTGCGTGGATGTCAGGCTGCTGGGCATCTTTGTGAAACGAGGTTCGGCCGCTGCCCTCATCTAATGGAGGGGGCAAGTTCCGGTTTCGGTGGCACCATGCCAAACAAAACTTCTTGCGGAATACACGTGCATGCTGCATGTTTGATGGCACGGGGAGGAGGCTTGCGCGTGACGGAAGGATATAAGACATAGTCAAGGGGACATTTTACGCCGGTGGAACTGGCGCTGAGTGGGCTGTTATCTAATCCAGACGGTCCCATTCCATCTCCCTTCTCCCCCACCGCAAATGCTTCTACTCATCCCCCGCCAAGCTTCGCGCTCCCTCCTTCCGCCTTCCTTACCTGTGCTTCCTTCACCTGCTCTATGAACATGTTGCGGTCCATCTGTCTGTCCCGGTCCAGAACCTCGAGTTGCTCCTTCATCCGTTGCGCCAGGTCCCGGTACTGGTTGGCGTCGGCAATCAGCGCAGCGCACTCCTCCACGTGCTGAGACAGGTAGTGGTTGAATCAGACCACACAGGTGTGGGGTAAGGAGAAATCCGGATGAATCGTAGGGCATTGAAGGTAATACTGCGTAAAATTTTCATGTGCATGCCATACGTGTCCAGAAACTACGATGTACGCGTGTCGATGTCAGACGGCGCATTTCAGACATACTAGTGTTGATATGCCAACGTGTGTCAACGTGTAGCATAGAGCCATGGATGTAGGCCCCGGCGCCATGAGTGCCGGAGCTACCTCGCCCCCGGCATACCTGCGCGTGCTGCAACTGTAGCGCCTGGTCTGCCTGCTGCTGCGCCTGCTCAAACTGCGTCCGCAGATCCGCGAGCTCAGCCTCCAAGACACGGACGGCCAGAGGTGATAGGAAGGGCTGGAACTCAGCAGCGAAGCCCGATCCCGCCACACGCTATGAAACGCGTGGTGCGGTACCGGTCAAACAGTTACGGGTAACGGATGAGAGGGCAAGAGTCAAAGACAACGTTCAGATGGAGCTTTCAAACAGGATGCCATGCGTAGTGGTGTGCGGTGTTCGGCAGCGGAGCGCCAATAATAAGGTTGTAAAAATTAAGGCCTAGACGCACGTGGGGCGTAACAGGGAGCAGCGTAAACACATTGTCGTAGAAGTTCCTTAAAGTGAGGATTGAGATACATAGACACAGGGGTTGCGTTGGCGGGCTGGGGCCTCCAGCCCAAAAACACTTTGGGAAGCACCAGCGGCCGAAGTCTGGACTCTACATCATAATGCATAGTGGGAATGGAATGAGCCGGAAAATGCGAAAAAAGGCAATGTTAGCCTTCGCTTCACCCCCTGCCTGCCATAACACCTGCCAGGCTTTGTACGGGAACCTCGGAACATACAAAACCTTTCCCGACCTGTGCTCCCTCCTTCAACAGCCCAACGCGCATACCTGCTCATCTGCCTTTGCCGTTGCAGATCCTGTGCTGCAGATAACCAGGGCCGCATCCAGGCAGCAGTCCAGCTGCTGGGCCACCGACCCAGCGCGACCGGTGAGGTTGGCCAGGCTGTCGGCTAACCAGGCCCGCTCCTGCACGGCAGCCTCCGCGGCGGCGTCGCTGAGATTGGCTGTCAATTGCCGGCGGCCGCCGCAGCCGCGAGCCGAGTCAAGAGAGCTCGTCTTCACAGGAGTTGACAAGATGGTCGTGTTTAACGCTGCACAATGGAGAATGGTCCGAAGGGACAGTATAGGGGGTGGGGTATGGACCTCACTAGTGAGTGCAAGAGGGCAGGCGGCTGTGCTTGATAAAGCGAGCAAGACAACAGGAAACAAGAAACGGTTCGCCCATGCTGTCAATCATACACGCGTGTTCCACCTTTCCCCCGATTCGCAGCCTACCCCAAAGAGCGACGGCCCACCTGCTACTTGGCCCTTCGCCAGCAACACCCCTGCCAGCTCTCCCGCTGCCTGTTCCACTTTCTGTACCGCGTATCGCAGCTCCAACAGCTGCACGGTCAGCTGCAGGCCCCTCGAGCCGCCGCTGCCCGTACCGGCGCCCAGTAGGCCCATGCCACCAGCAGTCGGGGAGTCGCACCCAGTCCCAGCGCCGAATGCAACGCCACCCATCACCAAGCTGTTGTATGACGCATGAAGCCCATCCCCGTTATGTGCTTGTGACGCTCTCAGCGGCTCAAAGCCTTGGACTTCCGGCGAACTGTCTCCTTTCAGGGCATAGTCATTACCGCGCGCCCGAAGCGATATGGAGATCCCGGGTGAGTGCGCTGAGCTGTTCTGCAGGTTCGTGACTGCAGCGGTGGCACCGGCGCCGCCTTCGTGGCCGCGATAGTACCGTTCATGGGCCCTGGGTAGAGGGTCCCTCGGTGTGCAGTCGGCGCTTTCCAGAGGGGTTGCCACTGTTCCGATAGTGAGGGGAGGTCCGGCGGACCCGGGCTCAACCCACAGGCTAATGGGCGTGGCGGATGCTGCGAGCGCGCCTGCGCCATCAATACTGCCGCGGAAGTCCTGCGAAGTGCCAAGGAATTTGTTGTTTCCCCGCAACGAGCCGCCACGGAGCAGTGACAGGCGGCGGCCTTCATCAAGCAGGGAGGCGGTGGCGATTGAGTCACGCAAAAATGATCGCGTCGGACTCAGCGGCAACACCATGCTGCAACGCTCCACAAACATGGAGGAACTGGGAGACCAGGCGGACGAGGAAAACACGGCCGAAGCAGTAACTTGCTGCTCCTGCTGCTGCCGCCAGGCTTTGGGGGTGGTGCCAGGGACAGGGCACGGGAGCAGCCGGCCCGGCGGAGCAGCCGCCGCTGGCCTCGGCGCCTCAGGCTGGCGTTCCAAGCGCCGCATGTGGTGCAGTTCAAGCAGCGCGTCCTCATGCGCTCGGCGTGCAGCTGCCAGGTCGACCTCGCGGTCCAGTAGCTTTGCCTCCAGACCTGCGCACTTGCTGCATTGGCTCTCCAAGTCCTGCCGCAGCCTCCCAATGAGCTCCTCAGCGTCCTGGTGGCGGCGCTGGAGGTCAGCAAGCTCAGCTGAGGCAGCGACGACCTGGGCGGCCAGCTGAAGGCTCGGGCCTGCAGCACAGAAGTACTTCGCAGTCAATCAAGCTTGTGTGATCTCGAAGCCGAGAGCAAAGACACCGACATCAGGAGAAAGCAAGGGGGTTCCCTTTAGCAGACAATCATTTAGCTCTACAACGGCGAATCCTCTCGCAGATTGGCTGTACTGCATACCTTTTACATCTGGGTTGCGAGGGAAAAGTGTGTTAGATGTAGTAGTTGTGGGAGGGAAACTGGGCCAGCATGCAACCTGAGTGACGGGGGTGCCTCTGCACCCTACGCAGAGGCAAGGGGATGGGGTGACACGCTTTCTAAACTCACAAAATATCCCCCAACGTGAATGTGCCAATGCCATCACTATACTTGGCTAAATGGAACACGCGAGGCCCTCCCTATGAACAGAAGCTCTTTTGTAAACACATCGACAAGTACCCCTCCAGCCCTCCTTCCAGCTTCCTTACTTGATGACTCAGACTCAGACCCTGCCTGTGAGGCAACGCCGCCGCCATGGCTACTGCGGGAGCTCCAGCGGTTCGGGGTAACACTGTAAGATGGCCTTTGCTCAGCAGGCCCCGAGACTGGCACCGGCCGTGGCGATGCCATCTCCACCGCAACCTCATGTATTGCCAGACACGAGGCCACCACGTCTGCTGCACTGCAGAGTAGCCGCCGCTGGGTACTCTCGTCTTCGGCGGCACCGGCCGTGGAGGCAGCTGCTGTGGCGCAAGTATTGGCCTCCGCCAGCTTCTGCAGCTCTACCATCTTCCTTGTGGCCACCTGCATCTCTCCCTCCAAATCCGCTACCTTACTGCGCTCCATCTCCACCGCCGCCTCTGCAGCTGCACATGCCACTGCCGCGGCCTCCGCCCGTGCTTCTGCCTCCGCGCCGCGCGCTTGAGCCTCCGCCAACGCCCGCGATTGACTCACTGCTTCGGCCTGCAGCTTCTCCTTAGCAGCTAGCAGCTCCTCCTCAGCGGCCTGCAGCTGTGCCTCTCGCTCACGCAGGGTTGCCTGTACGGTGGCTAGGTCATCTGCCAGGCTGTCCAGGTTATTCCGCAGCAGCTGGTGCTCATCCCGGACCTCCTCGAGGGCAGTCTCTGCCATGGAAGACCTAGCTTCCGCATCGCGCATCAGGGTTCCCTGCTCATCCAAATCCTGCCGCAGGTGCCGGACCCGCTCCGCCAGTGCTGACTTGTCGCACTCCGCAGCCTGCAGTCTTAAGGTTACCTCCTCAGCGGTGTCACGCGCCAATGAAAGCTCTCTGCGGAGCTGTTCCAGCTCGGCCTCCATTGACGTCCGGAAGGCCTGCACTTCAGCCAAACGCTCCATCGCACCTCGCAGCGCACTCTCTGCGGCCTTCAGGTCCGCCTGCAGCTGCTGCTGACCAGCCTGCATCTCATCAATGGATTCCTGAAGTGATGAGGCCTCCTCGCGTGCATCTGCCAGCCTGGCCGCCTCCTTGTTGGCTTCCTCGACCAGACGATCGCGCTCTGATTGAAGGTGATCCCGTTCCTGCTCAATGGACTCCACCTCACTACGGGCAGCGGCAAGCTGCACGGACAGCTGCTCGAGCATTCCCCTAGCAGCAAGATGTGCGGCTTGCAGCTCGGCGCGCTCCGTATCTGTAAGCTGCTGGCGGTCACGTGCAGCCTCTAACTGTGAGCGCAGCTGCTGCACCTCGTCCCGGTGGGCTGCCTCCACTTGCTCGCTGCGCTGAGTAAGCTCAAGAACATGCGTTGACTCGGTCACAAGGGCCATCTCCAGATCCGAGACAGCCGCAGCATTGCGCGCCGCCTCCTCTTTCACAGCGACTACCTACAACAGGCAGAGACAAATGGTTGTGTGATGATGGTAACAGACACAGGAAAAGGCGATCAGTGGATGCCTGAAGACGTCAAGTTATGCTGGCGTGTCTTGCAAAGAAGACAGGATTACAAAAAGTCATGTACTCTCCTAGGTAAGGGCGAAGTATTTTGCCGACGCATCCCGTCCACGACAGCACCCGGTCACGCCTCTCAGACGACATGCAGCAATTGAACCCGCACTCACTTCCTCAAGCGATTTGCGTGCCTCGTCCAGCTCTTCCTGCATCCTGTCCACCTTCGCTAGTGCGCCCTGAAGTTGTTCCTGCAGCGCATGCTCCCGTATCTCCGCAGCCTCGGCACGCTGCATTGCCGTGGCGGCCTGGCTTGCCATTTGCTGCAGTTCCCATGCTGCGGCGTCCAGCTGCTGCCGCAGCTCAGCCGCCTTCGTTTCTGCTTCCGCAATTGCAGCCTCATGCTGCTGCTCGGCTTCTAGCGCCTCAGCAGCCACCCGTGCACAGTTCACAGCCGCCAGCTCTGCAGCGCCGCGAGCTTCCTGCACAGCCAGAGACACCTTCTGCGCATTGTCCTCCCTACGTAAAACTTCTGCGCGTGCGGCAGCGCGCTCTGCCGCCAACTCCGCCATCGCCACTCGCGCGGCTTGCAGCTCTGCCTGTAAATGCTGCTCGTGCTCCGCTGCAGCGTCCGCTGCTGCCTGAAGACGACCCAATTCATTCTGTGCCGCTTGCAATTGCTCCTCCAATAACAGCACCCGTTTTCCCTGGGCTTGCGGAAACTGAAATCCTTCTATCTCCTGGACTCGCATCTCAGCAGGTGTGGATGGGTGACGTCCTGCCTGCTGAGGGCCAAAGCAGTGTGAGACCGGGGTTTTAACTGTTCACCCTTCGGAACCTACAAGGCTGCGCCGAATAAATAGCGGTAAGAGCAAGCCAGAAGGCTGTTCCGAGTGCAGATACGTACGGTGGCTCAACCCATGCTACAAAGCAAGCTTAGATGGAAACCAGGATAGGGCGTACGGTTTTCAGGCGGCAGCAAAAGCATGCTAAGTGTGCCCGTGGCACACGTAAACAACATACCTCGGCCGCATTTGCTGCCTTGCCCTTGCAACACCGCGAGTCCGCGGCATCGTGTAGCAAACTTAGCTGCTCCGCCACTGCGTCATCTTGCCACCGTGGCTCCCCTGCTGCTACCTCCACAGCACCATGCCCTGCGCCGGTGCTAACTGGGTCGAGGTGGTGCTCCTTCGACTCCAACTTTGGCCCCTTCCAGGTGCACACTGCAGCCAGCTGACGCTCTAGCAAGGCCACCTTTTCTCGCAGCGCAGCCGTGACCTGATCTGACTCAGCAACCTGGATCTGAGCCAGCTGCATCTGGCGTGCGATTTGCCTGCCCTCCAGGCTGAGCTGTGTATTGTAGCGCTCCAGGTCACGTATGCGCTGTAGTGAGGAGTTGAGGTGGGCTTCCAGGCGCTGACAGCACCGCTGGTGTGACTGGGCCTTCTTGTCAGCCTGACGACCACTCTGCATGCGCATGAGACAATACTAGGTCGCCTTGGATGGATGAGACAGAGAGCCAAATTGTTATTTTGGTGAAGGAGCAGCTCTGATGCACACATTCTGCGTAACAGGCATGCCGGGACATTGTGCTTGGCTTTTGCCCTGGACTCTCTGCTTGGGAGGGAGAGTCCTATGTTGGAAGGGAGAATCACTTTCAATTATTTCTGTTGCAAGATAGGGCTTTGGGCCTTGATAAGGTAGGGTTTTGGTGCTAACCGGGAAGAAGCCCCGGAACGCACGCTGGCCTGCAAAAAGGACGCGAACCAGACCAAAGAAACATTGGAATCTTCGTTCGTAAAGTGCTACTTTTTTCTTTACCAAGGGCCAAGTCAGATCATTCCCCTTGCGGACTGCGCTCCCCGGGGCCCCATTCTCACCTCCAACAGCATAGCTTGCAGCATCTTGCTTCGCGTCTGTAGCTCCACGTTCTTCGAGCTGGACTGCGAAAGCTCTGCCCGCAGCTGCTCGCTCACTCGTTGAAGATCCTTGTTGTCGCGAGAGAGCTTGCTCAGACGCGCCAGCGCCTTACCCATGGCCGCTGAGGCCGCCTGCACAACCAGCGGGTTGCCAACGCCGTTGCTCATGCTGCTGCAAGCAGAGACTTGCAAAGTTCCCTGCTCTTCGTAATCAACGTGGCTTTCACAACTGCGGACTGTTGCTGTTGCCACAGGATCCATGGCTCCATCCGCCTGTGCTCGTGCGGCTGCGGCCCTCTCCACAGGGGTGAGCTCACGCACTGGAGAGGGCGGTGGCGGTGGGGTCGGCCAGGGGGCTTCGTTCGCGGCTGCGAGTAGCTGCAGGAGCAACGTCTGAGCGTGCTCGAGCTCCTGAATCAAAGACTGGTCCTCCGCACCCATGCCGCTCGAAAGGGCGGCCCTGCTGCCGGACGCCATGCCAGCGCCGGCCGGGCTTTGGCTTCCCATCGCGCGGCTGGTGGCCGTGTCCCGCCGGTCATCGACTACGTCATCATCTACAACGGCATTGCTCATCACCCCATCGAGCAGAGGGCCATGACGTCTCGGCATGCCATACAGTTTGGAACCTGTGCCCAACCCAAGCCCGGCAGAGGCCAGCGCCCGGTTAAGTGCGGTTGTGCGCGGACTGTCGCTGTCTGAGCTGTCACTGCTGCTGTCCTCAGTGGTACCCACGTCATCCGCACGGGCACCTTCCGGAAGAACGAAGGCACGCGAAGGGGTGGCATCCGGTGAAGCGACAGCTCCGGCCCAGAACGGGCGCAATACTGATCCAGCAACACCTAAGCGGCCCATGTGGGTGCCCGCGGGTGTTCTGTGCATGACATGGCCAACGTCTCTCTCTAAGTCACGGCCGTCCTCGCCTGGAAAGCTAAAGTCGCCAAGGACTCCAGCAGCAGCAGCCCAAGGCGAACTGGCTGTCAAAGGGCCCAGCTGGTTTTGGTTGGTATTGAAACCCAGCTGGGAGGAAATATCCGTGGCATCCGCATCTAAGTCCTCCTCAAAGGCAGGATTTTCCTGGATCTGCGCATGCGTGTTGAGCAGAAGCGGAGATGAGATGAAGTCTTAGGACAAGCAATTACACATCGGACAGGGGACTTCCATAACATGGAGCCGGTTCTCAAGGAGTGGGACGTGACTGGATAGCCAACCTGCAGGCCAGGAGTGTTACACGCTAACAATCACAGCTCATGCTGGTAACCCAAAAATGCTAAAGTCCATCGACTTTTTGCGCTTGAGAACAACATATGGAAACGCAGCCGAGGTAACAGAGATTTTGGACCCACCTGCCAGGGCTGAACCTTGATGTCGCCATCAGCGCGCGGTGTCACGTCACTTCGCCCTGACAACTCAGCATCGGCACCACCCAGCTCCGTGCTGCTGCAGGTGCTGCGGTACCCGTTAGGATCGTACCGTAATGCTTTGCCGCTTATGAAGGACGACCAGCCACGGCCCCCTGCACAAACGGTTGGTGCTGCAGCGGCGTCGGTGACCAGCATTTGCTGGCTAGCCAGGCTGCAAGCACCAATCTTCCCTATGCTGTGATGGCCAAGCGAGACGTCGCGACCTTCCTTTGCATGCATGGCCAGGGACCCGGCCTGCCAAGGCATCCCAGCCTGTGTGCCGTATGGCGATTCCACATGCGATGGGTGCGGAGGCAACAGAGTGCAACCGTCCCTAGCTGAGGCTGGAGCCACATCTGCTGCTGCTGTCGTGACTTCAGCCGACTCTGCCGTATCTGCTTGGACATCAGGGACTCTAGTTGCCATCGCTGCAGGCATACTCATGGATTCCGTGTCGCGTGTTCCTCGGCGTGAAGCTGTGCTGCCCCACGCACGACTGAGCTCAACGGCGAGCTCTGCATCCGACGTCCAAGACACCTCGCCTGATGGAAAGGCGTGCGGGAAATGGGTGCATCCAGCGCTTTGGTCCTGGCCAGATTCTGCTGCAAAGGCGGCAGCGCAGGAGCTACTCAGGGAAGGGTAGGCTTCAGGCACCAACATTTCAGAAGCACTACTGCTTGTGGCATTGTGGCCACCTGTTGGATCTTCCTGCCATCCGTCTCTTCCATCACCGCAGCCACTTGTAGTCCCGCTGCCGTCCTGTGTGCAGCGCCATGTCTGCACTTGTGACCGCTGACGAGAAACATACGCATCTTCGCGACCCGGAGACAACAGCTGTGATGTGGGCTGTTGCACCAAGGGGTCAGGCAACCCTTGCTCCCAGCTGCAGACGCCGTCCAGCATCCCTATGCCCACTTCCTGCTCGGCACTGGCAGCCGCCGAGCCAATCGGGCTGTGCTGCTCCACCACAGGACCGGCACGCTGAACCGCATTCTCAGCCCTTTGTTTCGCCTCTGCGTTGCCCTGAAGTGCAATATCCCCGGGGCGCCCTGTGAAGCTGCTTCCCTCAGCGCCCCAGGTACCAGCCCAGGGTCGCGGCTGGTGCACCGATGGTGGCACATGACCCCTTGCTAAATCGTAGGGCTGGTAAGGACTGCCGTGGCCGAAGGTGGCCACCGACTCCGGCGTCAGCAGCAAGCGTCTACTGGCTGCGGGTGGGGAAGACTCACAACTGCCGGCCGGCAGCCACCCGAACGTAACACTCGCCTCTGGCAGCAGCGGACTGCGTTGGGCAGGAGGCGGCGAGGCTGCCGATCTCCAATGAAACACATCAGCCTGTTGCTGCTGCTCAGCTAACGCGGATAGGGGGCCTGCCGAGCATGTTCTTCGCGCTTCCACGCCCATCTGGCTTTCCTTCCCCATAAGGCCTGCCGAGTGGTTGTCATCCACAGGCTGGAAAGGGGTCGAGCCATACATTATGTTGCTCAGGGGATAGGCGGTCATGCCCATGCTTGGCGTTTGAAAGGAGTTGTGTGCGAAGGGCACCACAGGGGAGGTGTCAGCTAGCAGCGCCGCGATGTCCAAGCCAGAGGCGTTGACGCACGGCCCAGCCCCCTGGGGCCACAAAGCCTGGTTAGGCGGTGTTGCCGCTTGCTGCACCACGATTACTGGCTGGCCATGCTGCACAACACCGCTGGTGGTAGCATCGCTTTGCAGCATGCTGCCGTCCTCGGCTGTGCCAGATGTACATTGCGCTTGCGAGTTGGTGTCAACTGGCATGGAAGCCAAAACACGTGCCGTCGGCAATACCAGTGTGAGGCGCTTCGGTACTACCCGTGGCGTGCTTTTTGTCGTGCTGGCTTCGCGGTGAGAGTGTGTGTGCCGGAAGCTGTACCGCTTGGCCAGCAACGAACGGGACGTCGAATGCTCTTTCGTGCCTGGGGTGCTGCTGCGGTATGTCCGCACGCGCCAAGCAGATCCCTCCTCCCAATTGAGCTTCCTCTGCGGTCCCTTCATGCGTGAGCCCGCAGGCGAGTCCACGGTACGAGAGGATCTCAGCGAATCGGATGCCACTCCTTCAGCGTCCGCAGACCAAGAGCCCCGGCATCGCTGCGCTAAGGAGCCCTGAGCTCGGCATCCCTCGCTGTTAAAGGAGACTCCAGCGATCGACGGCGTTGCACCATGGACAGTACAAATTGCAGCCACTGCGGTCGTAAAAGTGGGCGGAGCCTCGATATTCCCGGCGCTACTGAGGCTGTCGGCAGGGTGAGGGCGCGCAGCGCTATCACGGAGATTCATGGAGCGTGATAAGGTCTGCCTAAAGTCCGACAGAATGGCCTCAGCCTCGTCGTGCAATTGTTGTTTGAGGTTGGCGGGTGAGACGGGACCCTCCGTGCCGACGGATGCCCAACCAGTGGCCATCGGAGAGCCAATGTTCCTAGTTGCGGCCTCGTGATTGGATCGGTTCTGCTCTGCCGATGTGGCGCCCCACTGCGGGAGGCGGGGGGAAGGAGGGTCGAACAACCAATTGAGGGCCCAACTTGCTGTGACATGGAATATAGAACAGTATTAATGAGAAATATGGGCAATCATGAATAATTATGTATTAAATCATGTGACGGCTTACCAACGCTGCTTCACTTGGCAACCGCATGAACGCGCCGAAGGGAAACTCCGCCGATAGGTCAACTGCTTTCGAAAAATCCGAAAGTGGACTTTGCTGGCTTGTGAAGATCCAGCCGTTCATCGATGGCAGCGCCAGCCCTGGTGAAGCACCCGGCTGTAGAGGACTCGGGAGGAGAGGTTCCGGCCACTCAATTTTTTGGTCCCCCATGTTATTATAATGATACTAGTATTGGAACTGAGGTCCTAGATAACAGTTCGGCGTTTCAAAAGAAAAGTGTTGACTGCAGTTATGCAGCTTAATATGCCAAACAAGCCCTGCGCTACATGGAGAACCGTGGAAGTAATTATCATTTTGTTCTCCATAATAAATACATGGTAGTTTCGAGACGGCCATGAGCAACGGCAACAATTTGGGCCGGTGCCCAGCTGCTTTTTTGAAACGGCAACCACCTCAGATGTTGTACACTCCCGAAAGTGCTCATCAAGTGCAGATGTCAATCGCCGCCAGTCCTTATCCTTATGTAACTGTTTTATCTAAAACATCTATAATGTCGATGAGGCTAAGTTATCCTGTTCCTCTTTCGCTAGTCTGAGACTGTTTATGAGCCTTCGGTGTCGTCCTATGTGGTCCCCTGCATGCTGTTCGGTACCATTTCTACGTACCTGTTATTAGCTAACACATCTATGGCGCCAGACGAGCAAATTTGCTAAGTAACGGCGTAGTGTCCCTGGAATCCCCTGGAGTTCCAGAATCAATCTTAACATAGAACGGGATAAAAAACCCTCGGCCGTAGGGGAGTGGATGCAACCCCCTAGCCGATGGATGGCAATAGATCCGGTTATAGTGACCTGCGAACCGACCAGGAGGGGATTTGACGACCCCGTTGATCCGGCGGATTCAGTTGGTTGCTGCTGGTGGATATTGCACCAAAAGTCGGCATAGGAGAGGATGATTGTGCCCAAAACATCGGGGAGGACAGGTACTGCGAGGCTAGTGGCCACGGGTAAAGCTAAACCTCCCTACTTCACACAACCATAGTATGAGTCAACGGGGTTTTCCTGAAACTGAGGAAATCGGAAGTTCCTGAGTACAATCGGCTGTTAGATGATGCCAGCTTAAGGAAGAGTCCGTCTTCTTTCACCGAAATCGTGGGTTAACGGGGCACTTGATATGGGCGTTGAAGCTCTTCTATGCCATGAGCCTCTTCATCATCCAATGGCATCTATAACGTGAACCATCCCGAATTAAACAGGTCATTATTCATTCCACTTACAAGTTCATGAGCTTTATTCAGTGCCAAGGGTCGAAAAACACCGATCGTGACACCGCGTCATGATTTGGACACCCATCGCCGCACCACCACTAGACCACCACCAATATATGGCCTTAATTGGTTACGCAGCTTCAGCCTTTGGGCGAGGCACAATTTTGGGCCGGGTTATCTTTTGCGCCACTGTTGGAACCACATACTTGCCCTCAGCCGGCAAGTAAGTGATCCCCTACCGCTAGCTGATTCTGCGTTGCTCGGCCCCATGATGGATCTATGAGCGCCGTACAAGTCTCATAACGAGTTTTGAGTCACGTCTCCGGGGATGACGGGACCCTATTGCTATCAGAACACACCAGAATCGTATCTACCTGTACCGATGCCCCCACAGCAGATGCCCGACAGGCACCCCCACCGTGTACAGAACCTTATCCTTGCTAGCTGTACCCCCTTATGTACACTGCCAGGCCGTACAGATTAATAATGAATACTCGGGCTCTAATTATAGGATCGCCAGCGTATCTTGCAGCCGACACAATTATGAAGGTGAAGCCGCACAAAATCCAGGCGCAAAGGCCAATGACAATTCGTAATAACAATTGGAACTCAACCCTTGAACAGGGAGGGCAATGGCACGAGAATGGCTTACCGGACGTGAATGGTGATGGCAGCCTGGAGGAATTTATGGTATCCCGGACCAGGGAGGAACCTTGATGCGTAACGATCCAGCACTGTAGATCCCTAAGCTATGAGTCAATCACTCTTGACTATGACCCTGGAGCGTACGCAGGTATGCTGCAATTTCCCCAAATGCCTAAAAAGAGAGCAACGTTTCCGTATCTTTGCTGCGTCTCATTCGTTTGCGATTCGTTGTTCTTACGACACGTCAGATTGATAAGCACCATGTGGTCTAATGATGGGCCCCGGTTGGTGAAGGCAATTGGAGCCTTGATCTCGGGTAGATTATTATTGCGGCTGGGCGGAAGCGCCAATAGCTAAACTTTAGCCGCCAGGTGCATCACCTGTAGCGCGTCGTGGCCAGGAGGAGACAGGGGTTGGGTCGATGCTAACCCACATCGCACGCATGCATTGGGGAAAAGCAGGTCAGGACAACGACGACGGGCCCGCCTGTTACCAGCAGCGCAGGATAAGCATGCATGCGGCAGTGAGGGGATCTTGGAAATCGAGATTGTCAAGGGAGTGAACCACAGTGAAGAGCAGGATAGCAAGGATGGGAATGGGTGCAAGGCCAGGCAGCACCATATGATTACAGCCCGTGCAATGCGTTGGCATCTGGTACGGCAATATCCTATTGTAGGAGCAACCCCAGTCATGTGGAGTCGTGCGCATAGAAGATGCAGACTTACAGATGCCTGCCTGGCTAATCTCATGCTTCTAGGGCAGGCGTAAGCAAAAGCATTGGCTCTTAAGCCACGGCACAAAAACAGTTTGAATCCGCTCACGCACCTGGCAACTTCCAGCAGACTCGTGGACAATCCAACTGAAGATCGCAGCCGCCACAAAAGACGTCGCCAAAATTAGGCAAAGCCAGGCCAGCTTCCGCAACTCTAGCAACCTCCTCCTAGCGACCTGCATCTCTGCCTGCAGGTGTGCCGCCTTGCTGCGTTCGACCTTGACCTTAGCCGCACACACCGCCACTGTGGCCTCCGCCCGTGCTTCTGCCTCCGCGCCGCGCGCTTGTGCCTCCGCCAACGCCCGCGATTGACTCACTGCTTCGGCCTGCAGCTTCTCCTTAGCAGCTAGCAGCTCCTCCTCAGCGGCCTGCAGCTGTGCCTCTCGCTCACGCAGGATTGCCTGTACGGTGGCGAGGTTCTTCGCTAGGTTGTTTCGACGCACCTGCTCCTCCTGCCGGAGCTGCCGCGCTCGCTTCACCACTGAAGTCTTTTCAGACTCCACAACCTGTAGCCTGGACGTCGCGTCCTCTGCAATGTTGCGTGCCACCACAAGGTCCTTGCGGAGATCCTCCTGCTTCGCTTCCAGGATTTCAACGGAGGCCTGCACATCAGCTAAGCGCTCCTTCGCAACCCGTGCCTCATTCTCCGCAGCCCAGAGGTCCGCCTGCAACTGCTGCTGGTTAGCCTGCATCCCGACAGTGCATTTATACAGGGACGAGGCCTCCTCTGCCATAGTGGCGATTTCCTTTTGGGCTTCCTCGGTAAGGCGCGCATGGTCTGATTGAAGGTGATCCCGTTCCTGGTTTAGAGTGTCCAGCTCGCTTCGGGCAGCCGCGAGTTGCACGGATAGCTGCTTAAGCTCCTCCTGTGTAGCAACATGTGCGGCATGCAGGTCTTTGTGCTCCGTGTCTGCAAGCTGCAAGCGCTCACATGCAGTCTCCAGCTGCAAGCGCAGCTGCTGCAGCTCGGCGCGGTGGGATGCCTCCGCTTGCTCACTGCGCTGAGTGAGCTCGAGGACACGCGCTGACTCGGCCACAAGGGCCATCTCCAGCTCCAAAACGGCAGCAGTGCCGCATGCCGCCACCTCTTTCGCAGTGCCCACCTAGTAGGCATAGGTGGCAACAGCGTGGACAGTAAGAGACGATGAGAGTTCAAGAGGCTGCCGGAGGCATGACACCATGCCAGCTTGCTGATTAGAGCTCGCTTGCCCACCACATTCTGTCGAATGTAATGTTCAGCCCAGCCTTCCTGGGGACTAGACTCTGACCCACCTCATTGACATTCTCCAGCGCTTTGCGAGCCTCCTCCAGCTCTCCCCGCGTCCTCTCTGCCTCCGCTAGTGCATGCTGCAGCTGCTCCAGCAGTGCATGCTCCCGTGTCTGAACGACCTCCACACGCCGCATGGCCATGAGCCCCGGCGGTTCGGATGCTACTGCTTCTGAGGCAGCAGGCCAAGAGCCCTGATACCGCGGCACCATGGGGCTCTGGGATTTGCACTCATCGCTCCTGGCTGAGGCTCCAGAATTAGACGGTGCTGCGCCGTGGATAGTGCAGATTGCATCCACTGCGGCTGCTATCGTCCCTAGGGCCTCCATAGTCCTGGCGCCGCTGACGCTGCTGATACGGTTACTATCCGCGGAAGAACTCGCAGTATTATCGTGCAGCGCCATGGAGTGTGGTAGCTCCTGCCCGTTGTCCGGCAAAATGCCCTTATCCTCAACGTACAACTGTTGGTCGGCGTCGGCAGCTGAGACAGAACTTCCAGCGCCGACGGCTGTCCTGCCAATGACCATATTAATACTTACGTTGCCGGTTGCAACCTCGTGCTTGGGTTGTTGGTCTGCCGGCACAGCGGACCACTGCAGGAGGGAGGGGGAACAATACAGAAGGAACACAGCTTCTTCCAACGCGTGATCGATGTAAAATACAACAGAGCACACAAAATAAGCATAGGAGATGGAACACCGTGCCACGGGCACATCGGGTAGAGGTTCCAATAATGCTTACGTCGATGGGCAAGCGCAAAAAAGCGCCGGAGGGAAACTCCGCCGAAAGGTCAACAGCTTTGGAGAAATCCAATATGGGACTCTGCCGAGCAGTGAAGGTCCATTTCCTCATCGGTGGCTGCGCCAGCCCTGTTGAAGCACCCGGCTGTCGGGGACTTGGCAGCAGAGGTTCCGGCCAAGGCTCGAAAAGTTGCTCCTCCATGGCCCGTATGTATGACGTCAGGAGAATGGTTTGAGCCCTTTGGAATCCAAAGCAAGAAGTGTTGACTGCAACTGTGCAAAGCCAAGCCTTTACTATGCGACAAGGCAATTATTTGGGTTGAGTGAATACGTCATAGATTGGCCTCCATTTAGTAAAGCCTGGAACTCAGACACATGTCGAGCTGCACTGCTGCAGCTGTTTTGAACGGAAGTTGTACAATTCCAGAAGTGCGGATTCCAGCGCCGTATACGTCTGCAGCAGTCTTGATCATGGTAATGGGCGATAGATGCTTATCTGCAAGGTGTTTGCTCGTGGCAGGCTACGGTGCAGAGTTCAGGCATCAATAAAGCATTTTCGGCAGAGTGTACTGGCCTTCCGGTGCAGCCGAATGTCTTCGTATGATACGAAGACATTGCAATTATTGCGGTGCGAACAGTTTCAACGCCCATCGAAGAAATATACAGACATTCCCAAACTGGTTAGCTCCTTTTGGAGCCTGGTCGGCAACCCGAAATGTACACCATGTGCTCTGGAATTCGTGCACCTCGCTGACAGCCCCGTAGGCTATGCACCACTGCCAGCCCTCGCCATTGCTGACAAGGAGGGTTGCAACTGAGGTTGGATTATATCAGGCGGTTGGTCGCGGGGATGCTTTCCCATCCCAAAGAACGTGGATGTGGCTTAGTGGGGATGCGAATGTGGGCGACACCGATGCAGCGACGCATACAGCTGCCATCCACATACACCCCGCGGGTAAGGGATCCAACGACACTTCCATGTCAACAAACCGCCACACCTCACATCCGGCGAAAGGGTGATTAAATAAAGCACTTGCAAGGCATGCACGCGGACGGACGGTTTCTTGACATTAGGCTGGACAGAATGTTCATAACTCAAAAGCTACGTCAATCTCTTTGCAATGCCACGGATATATTCATAACAGGCCACACCCAGCACGTGGTTATCAGCACCATGAAGTTCCAGGTCTTGACAATGGAGGATGAGAAGGGTAGGAATCAGGGCTGGGAAACGCCGTTTTCAGGGGCCCCTTAGTCGCACCATGTTTTGGTGCTCCATCTTAACTGGCGGACGGGGCCATCTAAATTGCTGAGGCACCCAGCTCCTCAGTACGATCTACCTGTCAAACTACCCCACCAGCCCAAACTTTGTGGCACCTCAGCGCCATCTAGCTGCCATAAGCTACTCCTCCAGCACAGTCTTAACCCTATGCCAGTGCAATCTAATTGCCCCAAGCTACCCAGCCAGCACAATGTTCTAGCACTCCAGCGCGATCCAATTCCCATCCAGCAAATTCTTGCTGGCAGGGTCGTTCCGCCATGCATACTGTAGTGCCAATGAAAATTGGTGACACGCAAATGGAATGCCGTCACCATTGCTGTAGCACGTGTAATTGTCTGAGACTTTTCCAGCGGGGGCATCACCAATTGTACGATGCATGGCAAATCTTCATAACTTGTACAAAACTAAACCAACAGCCTTCTATTGTCTAGATGAAAAATGATAACTTGACTAACATGCTGGCAAGAGAAGGAGAGGGGAAGGGAGGAAGCGAGGGGAAAGAAGGGAAAGAAGGAGAGGGAGGGAAGGAAGGGGCAAGAAGAGGAAGGAAGAACGGGGGAAGGAAGGGAGAAGGACTGGGAAAGGAAAAGGTACTACGTTAACCCTAGTTCCTGCCCTCCTGGCGATGCGAACACCGAGTTGGTTGCCTTCCCTGTCGGAGAAAAGACGTCAAGGCGTTCATCTGCACTAATTCCAATCACTGTCTGAACCTGCCTGAATGAATGCAAGTATGCTGCGATCTCCCACAGAAATCAAAAAATCACGCGCCGCTGCTGTGCAACCGGCTGGCACTTAACCAGCCACCGTCACTGCCACGAAATGTCAACTACTGCGGCCTAGTAAAGGGCCCCAGTTGATGGAGGTAGTTGGAATTCTTGATCTCCGGCAGGTTGCGGTAGCGGTTTGGTGGAAGCGCCACCAGCTGGATCTTGTCCGTCAGGTTCATGGCCTGCAGCATGTCGTGTATAGGAGAAGAGAGCGATCGACGCGATGCGGCGGACCAAGCTAACCCAAGCAAGCACAGGCGCAATAGCTGTGCTAATCTTTCCACGCCCCGCAATACGCACCCTCATGTCGGGCGGCGTCCTGCAGCACCAGTACGCCACCACTTTTTGGATCTCGTCGTCAAACTGCCCCCAGGTGCTAATGCGGCTGAAACCGGACAGCACGCGGGTGGGACTAGGTAGGTGCACGATGCGTGCACGCGGGTATCGCTGTAGCACGGCCCACAGCTCTCTGTCAGACAGCTGCGGTGGGACGGTAATGCGGCGCCCGTAACCGCGTGTGGCGGGGCCCTCGGACAGGACCAGCTGATCGGGTTGGAGGGGCCCGTGGTTTCGCGGCGAGTCCGATGGCACAATCTCCAGGAAGGACGTCTGCAGGGAAGGCGGCAGGCGAAGATGCGGGAGGGTGCGTATGCATGGAAGCATGTCGGGTGCGAAGAGAAGGAGGGGCATTCAGCGCCGCTGCATTACATTGTGCGCCATGGATGGCGCCGTGGACGCCTGTTAGAGACATTGGCGGGATAGCAGTGACGCTGGGTACAGGGCCGCGAATAAACGGGTGGCACGGGACGCCATGCGTGTGAAGGGCAGGTCAGCAACCATCCCACTGCCGGCGAACTGAGGAACTCGCTAGCCACGCAAGCCGATGCCCCACATGCAATTGATACCAAGATGACTACCTTGCAACAGCTCGATCCGCAAGCCAGCAACCCGGCGCGACATCCCCATAACTTAGCTATTGCGCCACACCTGCATACTTAAATGCCTTGCATTCCAACCAATGCGAGGCGCTTCCGCAGCTATAGACACACTACAGACGGCAGATTCTGCCGGCAGGGGGCAGAAGGGATGCAACTAGAGGACATCCAGGACGCTGCTGCTTGCTACCTTGATGACCACCAGTTTGCCCCTACAAAAGGTCCGCGAAATCGCCCTGTTCCGAGGAACGACCTTAGGTTCACAGAACTCCCTACCCCTATGTGAGAATGGTGGAGAGAGGCCTGCTGGTTGGAAGCGCTGCCGGGAGGCGATTTGACGAGTACGCACCTTGATGAGGTCTGGTACCTTGGGATTCTCCAGGAAGGAGTACTCCCTGATAAACACCTTGTGACCCGCGTACTCAAGGTTCTTGGGGGGCAGCGCGAAGCCATTAGACAGCCGCTTGGAGCGCAGCAGTTGGCTTAGCGAGCAGGTGAAGGGGAAGACGGTAACCGTCTCCTCGTTGATGCGGCACCTTTGTGTTTGATACCAGTTCTTGGAGCAGTAGCACAGAAACTGCAGGGCTCAAAGCAGACAGGAAGGGCGGGGTCCGTCTGTGGATGGTTTACAAGATACCAGGCAGGTGCACAGCCTGAACATGGCCACAGAATTGGGTCACTGCATAGCAGATCCAGAGAGGCAGGGAAAGAGAAAGTGAAGCAAAAACGGGGGTTACAAAACGCGTCATCACGGAAATCAAAACCGTTAGTTCGAAGCGTCCGTTCAACCCCAAGCCTACAATTCTCTGTGTCCCGTGTCGATGGCAACCCCAAAACGATTGGACAGAGCGACGGTTTAAATGAGGGTTTCCCTATTGCCACCGTTCGCCCAGCAATAACCAACTCTATACTGCCATGCGTAAACCCATCACCATCCCGGGTCTCACGCACCCGGGGTATCACCAGCGTGCGGTTGGCTATGAGCGCTGCAGCAAAGGCGTAGTAGGCCTGTTGCAGCTGATGGTTGGCGGCTGTCACGTGGAAGCGAATCATCTCCTCTGTATCGCTCCAGCTGTTGTAGTCCTGGGGCATCTGCAAAGATTAGGGTAACGAGGCACCCACTGATACCGGTGCGAGCACAATTGGTGCGTGGAGGCTCATAGCTGTAGAGAGCATGTAATGGGTGAGCCTCCAAATGGACACGACTGTATTACTTTGCAGTAAGGTCTTCCCCTTCCTTGCTCTCTCTCTCTCTCTCTCTCTCTCTCCACGTCATCCTCTGCATCACCTTGCCTGGCTTCCCTGTTTCCAATTCCCCCTGCTCACCGGTATTTGATCCACATCAAAGGTCAGCAGGTAGGGCGAGGAGTAATACTCGGGCTCATCGTGAAACTTCATCGCGTCCCGCATATCCTGGCGCTTGCTCTCCATCGTTCGGCCGCCCCACACCCAATGCACCGCGTACAGTGTATGATTCAGCCGCTGCACTTAGGGAAAAGAGATGGGTTAAGCGGGACAAAAGGGAGGTCGGCACGGTCTTGAGTACCACACAACCAATTAGTCAGTTGGGGGCTTCGTTACCTCTCGAACCGCTCTGTATGATTCTCCGTATGATTTCTTCTCCCTTTCTCTCTCTCTATATCATCTTGCATGATCATATATTCTTAAGAAACGTGAACTGCTCGTCAGACTGCCGCCGCAACATCAGTCGCGGCCTGCTGTGTTTCATCATTAGTCGCGGCAAAGCCAATCGTCTGGCCACGTTCCGTAGACACCTCGCCACGCAACAAACGTCCCCGCCGTCGGGCCGCCTACTCTTTCCGAAAACATGGGCTAACCCCAATAATAGCAGCAGCCCCATTTCCCCGGGCCCCACACCGACAGAGTGCGAGCCCTGGTGCACATTACCTGCCATAGCCGTGCATTCACGTAGGTGTAGGTGTTGCCAAACATGGACGGCGGCAGGAAGGCCACTGCCGTGGAATTGCTGTAGGCGGCGTAGAAAACCCGCAGGGAGGTGTCCGGGGGAATGTAGGCATACCCCGGGATCTCCTGCCGGAAGAAACCCCCACGCACAACCCAGTTGAAGCCGTCCTGGTCGTGGCCAATGTTCTTGTCCTGCATGGGCAGCCAGACGTCGTTGAAAAAAGCCAGGCCGCCGGGCCACTGCCGGACAAAGTAGATACCTGTCGGGGGTATAGGAGGCCCGAAAACGGCCCATGCCAGGCCAAGGCAACATGGGTTAAAGGCGCGGGACGGGAGGGACCGAGATGGGAAAGGGTTAAGAAGCGATAGGGGAAGCCCATCACCAGGGGCTGGCTCCAACGGCACGCATCTACAGCTTCAGAAAATCGTCCGCTAGCATAACCTTGAAGGACCATAAAGGCATCTTGTCTCGGAAAAGTGCCCAGGAACCCTCCGCCTCCTCCATCCAACCTTCTGCGCATGTCCCGCCGCATCTTCATCTTCTACTCCCAAGGACGCCATAAGGCGTCGATGTCCTCCACCCCGGTCAGCTTAGGATTCGGTTATACCCCTGATCCCGGCATAGATCTTGCCGCTGACCTGGTCAGGCCCTGATCCTGGTCCTGAGCCTCTGATCCTGGACACCCACCCGTGTTAATGTTGGTGTAGGGGTTGGAGGCAAACTCAACATCTACCTCCCCGGGAGGGTTGTGGGTGGACAAGGCGTCGACGCTGATGATGATATGGGCTGGGCCCGTCAGCTGTGACAAGAAGAACTGCAGCGGGTCACGAAACCACACCACGTCGGCGTCCGAGTGGATGACGTGGAAGCCCATTTCGTACACCGCCTTGACGATGTGCACCTGACCGGGGGATTTGTGTGGAAATGGACAAGCGGATCCAGATCGTACCCGGACGCGAACGTAAACACAGGGTTGGGGCACGTGAAGGGTTGCAGTACGGTCGGCTCAAGGGGTTGCAGATAAGCAATGCAAGATGTGCACCTGGTGTACATTGACTCCAACAGAAAGACTTTGGAGATGGCTGGCTGCCTGGCTGGGAAAGACGAACTGCCTGGTTGGGGGGGAAGGAGCGAGGCAGGGAGACGCAGACCTAGCGATGCTGGGGTTGCAGGCGCGACGGTACGGCCCTAGAGCATCTGTCGCCGCCATAATGAACCGCCATCTGGAACACGGCGGGTCCGTAGCGCACTCAGGCCCACCTCCCGAGCGCGCCGGATGGGAGCAGATACCCCAGGTGTTACGCACCTTGTTCCACGTGGTCTGCGACCAGTGGTGGCTGCCCCAGTGGTAATTGGCATCTGCAATTTTGAGGCAAGTCGGAGTCAATTTAGTGACAATGGCTCAGCTGGTTACAATGGCCACCGGCAGCCTAGCTTCGTTTCGCCGTTCATTTATGAGCTTCGGACAGCGCACGCCACGGCCACAGGAAAGCTGCCTGGACAAAGTGCCGTGTTCCGCACACAAACCCCCTTATTGGCTGGAGGTTAGCAATAAGTTCCTGAGTTTTCCGGCGTCATACTAGGTCCTGTATGAGCATACCGCACCCGTGCCAGTGTATTTGAGCCGCTCGGTTGGAGCGTTGAAGCAGTTGGTGATGCCCAGCTCCCCCAGCGTCAAGGACGTCTCCGGGTCCAACGCCGCGATAAGCCAATAGGTGATGTTCGCCGCTTGAATGTTCTCCACGTAGCTAGGTCCAAAGGTCTTCCAGACCAGCTTATCCATGGCGGTGATTAAGACCGTGTTGTCACGCGTAAACCGTTGTACGAACGCGCGGGTCATATGTGCGCAAGTGCGTCCGGTCGCCTGGAGGCTACGCCCACGGGAATAGCTTCGCCCCGGCAACCCATATCCCTCTGAGTACTGGGCTGCTGGAGTTGACCGTTCCCCCGGCCAAAAGTCCCCCGAGGACGATGCGAGGTTCGCGAGAAATCCTAAAGCCAGTGCGTAAAGACCATGTGTTTGCAAACGTCTCATTTCAGATTCTCGCTTTTGTAGACATTAGGAGCGCGGTGGGTAAACTATTCGTAGAACTGGAGCTCATAAACAGCCGTGCTTATGTAGTGCCCTTGCCGCTTGCTAACCTTACAGTCGCAAACAGACATATGTAATTTTACATATAGTTGTAATAGTGGTGATCATAATATGGTAGATGAAAGGTATTTTATCTGTGGAAACAGCTCAACCCGGATCTAATTTGCGAACTTGTTCACAGCTAATCCATGGACATTCCATGCCAGGCCTACATCTGTTTCCTTTCAGCTTCTCGGTTATGTTGCATTTCTGTGTAATGATCTTCTCTGCAGTCCTATTTGCTTCAGCACAATCCAGACATGTGCACCCCGCCTGGTTCTTTAACACACAGTCTGAATGGCACTTACCTTTTAGTCAAAGCAATAGAGCCCTTCTATCCGAGGTTGCCGGCGCAAAAACTGCGCACTGCGGGCCGCTCACCCGCAAGCTGGTGCAGGGGGTCGCGCGGGAGAACACCGTCCTGGTCACGGTTGTCGACAAGATTATCTGGAAGTGCTTCGGACCCAGCTATGTCGAGAACATCCAGGCGGCTAATATCTCCTACTGGCTGATAGCAGCCCTGGACCCAGAGACCTCTATGGCACTGGCCTCCATGGGGGTTAAGCAGTGCTTCAACGCCCCCCAGGACCGCCTTAAGTACAAGGGCTCAGGTGCGTGTCACATCAAGAGAACAAGGCATCCCGCAGCCTCTGGATACGAGCTTAAAACGGGTAATAACCCTCCCTCCAGACACGAAGTACCAGTGGGGTGGCCACCACTGGTCCATGACAACGTGGAACAAGGTGTGGAATGGGTGGAGGGATGGCAGGGTTCTGAAGCGTAGCGCAAAGCTGTGTGCGTGGTCCCGACCAATTGCAAAGCAGGTCATGCACCACGTTCTTTGCATGCAAGTGGAGCTAAGCTTAGGTGCTGGGAAGCTAAAATGCTTTCAGTGCAAGCGGCTTTCTATCTTGCGTGAAGCCTCCCCACGGCAGCATCCCCGGCTTCCCAAGAGCCACGTATCTATGCCCCTAACGCGTGCACGGCTGCCTCAGGTTCACATTATGAAGAGCGTTTACGAGATGGGCGTTCACGTCGTCCACTCGGACATGGACGTGGTGTGGTTCAACGACCCGCTGCCATACTTCAAGTCGCTGCTAGAAAAACCCGTTCACATCGTCATTGCTACAGACGCCGTCACCTCGGAAAACCCGAAAGGCGACACGGGGTTGGAAGCCTTGACTAGCCCACATGCCAATATCAACACTGGTGGGTAGCGCAGGGTTGCGAGTTTCCCCTTTTCCTGGCTTCCTTATCACAGCTTCTTTACGGATTGCTCTCCTCACGGCATCGCATTGTACGGTGCTGTTGCGGGGTCGACAAGACGCGGTTGTAGACAATGGACCGTTAATGCCATGGACCGACGGTGACCACCCGGCCAGAGCCCGCTCTTCGGGAATCCCTGTGGAGTCAGAGGGGAGAGGAGGCACCCTTACTAGGAAAAGGACATTAGGATGCATCCATTCATCGCCTTCATCGTGCAGTAAACCTCTGGCTGAGGCTTGCGGCCCTTAGCTTCTGTGCTTGCCTCGCAGTGGAAGGATGAAGGCCAAGTGTACCTGCTTTGCTCTACGGTAACAACTGTTATGTGCACCCGGGGGCGGGCCTCGCCGCAGGTATTTATTTCATGCGGCAGTGGCCAGGCGGATTGGAGTTCTTCAACATTTGGCTGTCCTGGCAGGACAAGCGCATTGGCCACGACCAGGATGGCTTCAATTTCGTCTCTCGCGGCTATTACTTTCACGGCGATGCGGACATGCCTCTTGCCACTCAAACTCAAGACCGCATGTTTTACTGCGCCTATAGCAACACCACAGCGGTCTCCTTCCTGCCCGCATCCATGTTTGGGAATACGTATACCTATGTGAATGCCCGGCTGTGGGAGGTAAGGCTAGTACGAGTTGTTTGCTTCAGGTCCTTTGCACTGCGGTGGTTCGCACCGCTTGCTTTGGGACGTGGCATCTTTGTAACCATGCTATGGATGGCACATGGTACTTAGCGTACTTAGGTGCTTAGCGTATGTTTTCCTGCTAATTGCTGGCAGTCATGTTGGCTGGATAAGCAGCTAGGAGGTTGTGGCAGCCCCGGTCATAGAAGGGGTGCGACGGGTTCAGGTTTCACCGCGCTTGGTATGTTGTGTCCAAAGTCTTGGCTTGCTTGTGCACGAGGCGAACCGACCAGGACCAACCCGCATGTGTTTTTTGCAGAAGCTGGATCACCCTCTGTATGAAGTGCACTGGGTGTGGGGTGGTAGCACGATGGAGAGTAAGCGCCAAAATATGCGGGACGCGATGAAGTTCCATGATGAGCCCGAGTACTACACTTCACCGTATTTGATTACATTTGCCCTGGAGCAGCTCAAGGTAGGAAGTGGTGGCGGTGGCCTCTTGTTCTACTGCACAGTACTCGGATTTTGCGCGTAGTGGTTCCACTCCTGCTGCCGAGGAATTTGCTCGTTGCCCTCTCCTATGGAGAATTGTGGTTCCAAAAGTCTCGTGGGAGCATCCAATCTTCCATCTTCGCGCGTGCTGTGTTGCAGATGCCGGAGGGCTTCAACTCATGGGAGGTGCCTCGTACAGAGGAAATGATTCGCTTCCACGTGACGGCCGCCAACCATCAGCTGCAACAGGCCTACTACGCCTTTGCTGCAGCGCTCATAACCAACCGCACGCTGGTGATGCCCAGGGTAAGTCGGAGTTAAGGCTGCGACGCTGTCTGACTGGTTGCGGCTATCCTTATTGGCTAAGGGATGGCTAGACAGACGGACTGACTGGAAATCGAACAGCATGTAACACATTGCCACTGGCTTCTCGCAGTTTTTGTGCTACTGCTCCAAGAACTGGTATCAAACACAGTCTTGCCGCATCAATGACGAGAAGCTGGCGACATTTCCGTTTGTGTGCGCGCTGAGCCACGTGCTGCGAGTGAAAAAGCTGCAGCAGGGATTTGAGCTGCCTGCCAACACCGATTACTCGGGGCATAAGGTGTTCATCCGAGAATACTCGTTCTTGGAGAACCCCAAGGTTCCCGACGAAATCAAGGTATGCCGTTGGGCCTGGGGTGTGTGTGTGTGTCTATATGTTCCTTTCAGTAATCTGGAAGCATTGATGAATCCTGCTGACGTTTGTTTCTCGAGCTGATGGATATTGACCTGCTCAAAATACCCAACCGAACCGCCACTGGGGAGTGCTGGGGGTTGCTGCCTCAATGACTAGTTGTCGATTCCGCACCCAGTACCCCAACCATGTCTTTTCTCGCCTCCTCCCGCATCTGCACGTGCTGCCGGCTCACTCAACCGCTTCCTTATTCGCCTGCGCCCTCCCAACCGCCTCTCCTCAGCGGTCTTACCTCGAGGTGGTCCCCTCTGCCGTGCCGCGGCCGCCGGGACAGCTCACCGCCGACCAGCTTGTCCTCTCTACTGACGATACGAGCTCCCGAGGCTACGGCCGGCGCATCACCGTCGCTGCACCGCTTTCCGACTGGGAGTTCCACAAAGTGCTGGAGCGCTACGGTGATGTGCGCGTGGTGCACCTGCCGCAGCCCAGTCGCACGCTGTCGGGTTTCTCCAAGCCTGAGACAGCAAAGCAGTTTGATGTGGAAATCCAGCGGCGTGTGACGTACTGGTGCTGTCGCAGCCCACCCGTCATGGCTACCAAGAACCTAACGGAGGGGGTGCAGCTGGTAGGGTTGCCACAGAATCGCTGGGAGAATTTGCCGTTGCTAGGGAAGCGCTACAGCTACTTGCACCAGACCCCGCCGCTATCAGGGACGAATGTGGGCGCGAGCGTTGGCATGGGCTTACCCCTTTTGGGGGAACCCAAAAGGTAAACCAAAGGGGAAACCCTTTGGTTGTCCCCTTTGGTTTACCCTTTTTGATAGGGCTTTCCCAGCGCTACAGGGCGCCTAGGGTCATTCGGGATGGCGGGTGAGCACGGGCGATGCCTTCAATTTATGCTGATAATCCAATAAAAAATCATTGCCACTTTGTAAAATGGTCTATTCTTATGCCATGTAGTGGAAGTGGTTTAGCGTGAATACATGTGTCCGTGAATGCGAAGGGAAGCGCTGATGAAGTGATGTGTGTGTGGTCCCAGGATAAGGGAGGTCCCCATGTGTGATGCCCGCGGTATCGACGTCATGTACGGTGTTCAGTGATCCCAGAGATGTACCCAGACCGCTTGCTAAGTGTGATATGCATGGATGCACTGATTGCTTTGGACGAGAGCCCTGTAAAGAGTGGTTTGATTTGAGCTCTGAAACCGCCTACGAAACCATTCCAAACCGCTACCAAGAGCACTACGTCATCTCAGCAAAACAGGATGATATGATGAAAATGGCCTTGAATGTTCGCGCCTTGAATTGATGCCGACAGACTAAAGCTGTGGATTGCAGGACGGACGACGGTAAGGGCTAGGATGCAGACTGATGCCTCAGTGCAACTAGCAGTTCAGGAGGGAAGAGGCCGATGCTCATATGTGCGTAGGTTACCTGTGGGCCGATGCCGTCCGATCAGAGGTTTGCTAAGAGTTGGCAAGAGGCTTTGGATGTGAGGAATGCTGGATGGTAGCTGATTAATTGAGCGAGCGATGCGTGCTGGCGTGTGACTGCCGGCTGTGCAGGCAAAGGGAATATCTAAGGCTTTTTGGGCAAGAGAGGGGGATCCGGACACACATTGTGAAAGTTGCGCAACTATCTGAAAATCGATCATTGTGAAGATGAACTTTCCACCTTGGTATAGCGCAGTCCTGGGCTCCGGGTTTTCCTACCCTGTACTCGGTCGTTAACGGTTGGAAACTTAAAGGCCAACGGCAGGCATTACGGATCGTACCCTCTAGTCCCATTCCAGGGCCATGCATTCTCGGGAGGACGTACATAGTTTAAACACAAGGTACCGTCAACATTGCGACGGCTGACCATGTCCTGAGCTGTAACGTTTCGGCCGGGCAGCACATCATGGTATTCATACAACTTCCCTACGTGCAACATGTTGACCCATAAGTTGGGCAGGCCAATCGGTAGATGCCGCTGTGGTTCGGTTTCTTAACACGCCTGGCTTACTCCTTAGATGTCGCTCTACCGTAGGCTCTCTCAGCCTTCATACCGCGCGCGTTTTATGATTAAAAAGCTCACATAACATGCCAGGACGCTGGCTGGACCGTTTGGCCTCGCAGAAGATCAGCATCCATCGAGAAACAACCAATGGTGTACAACCCCGTCCGTACCTTTTGCTCACGACACCGTTTCTCGTTTGCATTCTGGTTGTAGTATATACTTGTATTTTATTCTTACGACGAGGGTGCGTGAAAGCAACTGCCTTTGGGCTTGGAGCGGCTGGGCAACCAAACCTGTCGTCGCCACAGGCAACGAGACTTTGGTTAGCAGCACGGTGCCTGGGCAATCTTGCGAGGGAGTGTAAGGCGAACTGGTGAGCCAGGCGCTTGTAACACCCTCCCTAGCCTTCATCGTTGTGACCACATCGCATCGGGTGATATACCCACGGCGCTGATCGGCCGATCAGCCGATTGCACTAGTTGTTGCGATACTGGATCGTGTTCGTATGCTGTTGCAATCACCTTCATCCTCTTGTTGGAGACCTGTCGGCGGATTTTGATGCTCCAGGTGCACGGTTGAGCGCCAAGCGGACGTGAAGCTTACCATAGGCGCCATCATGCAAAATTCTACCTTGCGCGCCAAGTCGTTCTCTGGGGGCCCTGCCGTGGCCGGTCGCGCTGCACGGCAGACGAGTGCGGTTGCCAGGCCCAGGTGAGCGTCCGCTTCTCAAGCATAGCCCCCAACGCCCAAATTATAACTTCGCGCCAATCCGACTCAAAGGGGCCTGCTGCATTTCACCGGGCGAAAGTCGCCCTCGTTAGCACGGTGTCGTTCCACTCGCTGGCTTTTAACTCGCAGGTTGCAGACATGGAGCGCCGTGTCCCCTAACGCGGTAGCAGCGGCCTGTACGGTCACTGGGGCAATTCCGCCGCCGCGGCGCAGCACCACCAGCAGCCGGGCCCCCGCGTTCTCCGCCGCGCAGCCGCCCCGTCATCCGGGCCGTCGCTCGTCTGTCAAGGTCCATGCGAACTGGGGGGCCCCTGTGGAATTCAAGCCCGCCAAGTAAGGCACCCAGCAGTCGGCGACGAACTGTTATGCGATTACCGCTTTCACGTCAGCAGCGCGGGATCTGTCAATTCTGCGTCCCCTGCAACTGCTTCCTCCTTATAGACCTCGCGCTATTCGACCGACCCGTATAGGTCGGAGTCCAGCTTTGCCGCTGCAACTGCCTTGGCCCATGTATTGGTCCCAGGCCATAAGGTTTTACATTCCATATGCACAAAATAGAAACAAAATCAATGATGCTAAACTATGCCACATGTCATGCTGCGCGGGATGCCTTGATGGGCCGGGTCGGGTCGTTGCACAAGGCGCAAAGCTCAGTGCCGCCCCTCGTGTCCACACGCAGGATTGTTTCCAATACGTCCGCTGCCGCCGGCCCGCTTCACAAGCTGGTGATTGACGTAGGCCCGCTTGCCGCCGGGTACGCTGTGCCCGGGCAGTTTATCCAGGTACGATGGGCAGGCAGGAGCCAGGGCAGGGTGTGTGTGAAAGGCGGTCATGGTGACACAGTGCGAGTGGGGGCATGGTAGCCCCGGTCGCCGACGTGCAAGTTGTGGCGATAGCGCACGCGTGGATGGTGCTTGCGACGGTGATGGTGCGGAGTGATGGTGGGCGGGGGGCCTGTGGTCTTCCGTGGGATCTTTCATTTAATCCCCGATTCATAACTGCGGCTGCGCTTGGTTGGTGGTCCCCTGTCTTCACTGCTATTGCTATAACGTGCCGGTTCACCCGGGTCGGGCCCAGCATGCCTCCTAGCATGGAAAACCCCCTTAAAGCGTAATCCCTTATGCCTTGCGACTCGGCTCCGTAGATCAAGGTGGGTGACAGCAAGCCGGGCTTCTTTGCCATCGCGTCCGCACCTGGCGCTCATTCGGACGGGCTGCTCGAGTTCCTCATCAAGGGTGCACCAGGTGGGTTGGGTTTGCGGCAGCCGTGCAGAGACCCGCGGTCAACCCCAAGAATAGGGCCCGATTACGACATGGAGCTAGGTGTCACGTCGGGGCAACATAGTCTTGCCTGGAGACGAAGCCGTTGTGGCTTCCTCCAACAAATTATACTTGGCATTCATCTCCGCCAACCCCCTGTCCATTAAGCCGCTCCGGGCCCTGGGAATCCCCAAAGCTGTAGTCGAGATCTAGCTGGTTGACATGCGTACGTTGGTATGCCCGCAGGCACTACTGCCGAGTTGCTGTGTAACGCGGGGGATGGCACTGAAGTGGCGGTGAGCCCCGTCATGGGCAAGGGATTCCCGCTGGACCGCCTGCCGGCCTCCAACACCACCGCAGTGCTCATGTTCGCCACTGGCTCGGGCATCAGCCCCATTCGGGCAGTCATTGACAGCGGGACGCTTGCAGGCAGGGACATCACGCTATACTACGGCACCCGAAACACCGGTAAAAGGGTGGGAGGTATTTGGGTTCCAGGGGCGGGGTGGGAAGGTATGATGTACATGGTTTGCTAACTTGCTGAGGGTCGGGTTGGCTGTGTGCTTCCGCGGGTGATCAGCTTAGGGAGCTCCCTTGTTGGGGAGTCCAGGTTGAGCGGCGAGGCTTGTTTTGGAGGGTGGCTGCTCCTCTTTTCCTGGGTAACTTACGATGCAACGCATTCTGTACTAACCGCACTGGTTCCTTCTTGAACCCCACCAATCCTAAGGCCTTGGACAGCTTCGTATTCTTCCGCGTTGCATGTTTGTGGTTAGGTCGTCCTGACTTGACATGCGTCCCTTCCCACCTCTCTCTCCACTCGCTCGCCATCCATTGGCCTGGCCATCCATCTGGTCACCCCTGGCTCTACAGACTCTACTGCGTACCGGGAGCTGCTTCCTGACTGGCAAGCCAAGGGCGTCAAGGTGGTGCAGGTGTTCAGCGAAAGCAAGCAGGGTTACGTCCACGACGTGTTTGAGCGGGAGGGGCTGTCCAAGCTCCCCGCAGATGCTGCCAGCGCTGTGGGTGCGCTGCTGTGCGGCCACAAGGGCATGTGCCAGGCGATTACCTCGCTGCTGACCGCCAAGGGAGTGCCGCCCGAGAAGATCCTGCTCAACTTCTAAGTTAAAGGTCATGGTTGTTAGTCATGGTGATAGTGATAGGCCGGATTGACTCTCCGCGGATTAAGCTTCTATGCAGATGCGCTGCTGTAGCCGTTCTGTTGTTGGTGCGGGCTCTCGCTGTTAGATGTTTATTTGCATGTGACCGCATGGGGACGCTTGGCTGTTGTGGTGTCTAATGTTGTGTGTAATGTTGTAGGTTTGGCGTTGCGGTGTAGGTTAAATTGGATTGGGCTGAAGTGGGTGCCGCAATTTTGTCATCGAGCGGACCTCATGGCGTCCAGTTCTGTCCCCCAGCCCACAGAAAAAGGCTGCCTTTTTAGGGCGCATTGGAAATGGGGTCAAGGTGGATGGGGTTGCGGTGAAACGCAGAAGGCATGCTTTCGTTGCTTTTAAACCACTAATGCATCCAACCTTTGGCGCTGTATAATCAGCAGTCTTCCGCACGGGACGTGAGGTATTCAGGAAAGGAATGGGTTAATGCGACATGGAACAGGTCGATCACGGCCACATTTCTATTTAGGCATCGGCCACAATGGCACGTGTGGAGCTGTTCCGCCGCAGAGGTGGCACATTGGGAGAACACCGTGTGGCGGGCACCGCCCAGCAGACTAGACAGCTGCATGGACGATAATCCCTATGGCATACATTCGACCGGTCACCGATCGGTAACCGCTACTTCAGCCGACGAGATGCTGCCGTGCAGGTCTCTCCAGATGCACTACCCTCTCCCGCCCCCGTCGCCTTCACTGCATCCCTCCTCACATCACCCTTCGCCTCTACTGCGCCGTCCAGAACAAGGGACAGACAAGAACGGATAACCCTCGGCTACATCTCCTGAACGCACGCATGTCATGTCATTTTAGCGTCTCGTCCAATTAGTCTCCCGTACGCACATACTTCGTCGAGGCTACAGTTATATGCTGCGCCTCGCACCTCGCAGCCTATATTAAAACACACTCCATTCTCTCCCTCACGCTTCCGATTTCTAATCGTAACACGAGGGTAAAAGGCAAGCAAGTCATCGCACGCTCTTCCCTTCAAAGCTGGGATCAGGGTGAAAGGGACACAGTCATATGAGGATCCCTTCTTCCCAATCACTCCCGTACTCCACTTGCCCCGGCTGCCTAGACAGCTGCCCAGCAGCTGCGGCTTTTGCAAAACAGCCATCACCGCACCTCCTCGCCATGGTCCTTGTCCTTTTACTTCTGTTCCCCAGCTCCTGGTGTGCGCGGGGCGACACCACTCGCCGCGAACCCCCAGCTCGTGGCGGTGGCCGTGGAGGTGGCGGCCGCAGTCTCACGCGCCGCCCCTGCTGCCCGCTCCGCCGTATCCGCAACCCCCTTCGCCTCAGGCGCCACTTGCACCTCCGTGCCTGCTGTCACGTAAGCCGCCGCCCTCTCCCTCTGGCGGGCTGTCCGCAGGTACGGCAGCACCACATTGGTGAGTGCCTTGTCGAATAGCTCCTGTACCGGGGGCAAGTGTCCGTGTGTGAGGATGAGGATGAGGATGAGGATGAGGATGAGGATGAGGATGAGGCGACCGCCGCCACGACAACGAGAGGACACACCACAACGGGCGGAGCAGGGCAGCGGGGCGCCGACATCGCCCCAATATGTCACTGTTTAAGGGGCTACTACTACGGGTTGTTTTTACGCTAACGACAGAGGGAGGACCGACAGAAAGAGGAGAGGGCCGAAGGTATGACGGGCATCATGCAAGGAACCGTCGTTAAGAGCTCGGCTGCGTCACCTGAGAAAATCCAAAGATAGTCGGGCGGACCCGTTGGGTAATTAGCGCTGTTCAAACAATTGGTAACTGTCCAGGGGTTGGGTAGAGGGACAACGAAGAGGCAGGGAACGGGGCGGGCGTGGTGCTGTCCGAATCGTATTGTACCGGCAACTACCTACAAACTCTATTCCTGTATTCCTTCATCAAAATGCTGAAGATCTGGAGATGACCCATGCCATCCTACTCCTTGTTCGCGATCCCTATCCTTCCGGCCACCTAGCCGCCCACCGGCTGGTCCAAGAAGACGAAGTGCCCCGCGTCGTCAATGATCTCCACGGTGAGGTCGTTGGGGGCGGAGGGGGGTCGCTCCTTCCGGAGCCGCGCACACAGCTGCACCGCGTACTCGGGTCGCATCCAGTCCTGAGTGGTGAGGGAAGGGAGGGCGCGTGGAGGGGAGGGAAGGGAGGGAAACCATGTACTGCAAAACCCAAAGAGGCAAAACTGCCGACACGTCCAAAGCACACGTGGACTCCTGCTGCCGCAGGAGCCCAAAGCAGTGGTGATGTGCCTGGACCCCAGATGGGTAACAGTTCCGGGTGCGGAAGGAGGGGATAAACAGACCGGGGGGTTTTCGCGTCCCCGAACACCCCCCGGGCCCCCGGCCCCCCCCCCCCCCACACCACAACACACACGGTTCCCGGAAGGGGAGGGAGGGAGGGACGGCTGCCCGACCCCAAAAGGCACACAGCAGCTCCCCTCCCCTCCTCTGCTTTCCCTCCCCTCCAGCACTTTTACCCTATCGCCATCCCCACCCCCACGTCCACCCCCCTATTCATTCTATATGAGGAAGCACTCACATGTCGCCCGTAGATGAAGGTGACCGGCACCTTGAGTTCGTGCAGGCGCTCCTCCAGGGGGGCGTGCGCCCAGGCCCCCGGGGCCAGCAGGTGCCGCAGCGCGTACTGCAATCAGCATGCAAGGGCGCCCACGGTGTCGGCGATGGGGGGGATTATAGCAGCAAGTGGAAAGATAGCTTGGAGGTGCTGCGGGGCAGTCCCTTAAAAAGGAAGAATCAATAACTCTGGCAGCAGTCTGAAGTACGGGAATGGCAGTCAGTTTGGACACACAGCCCCGAGGGGAGACGGGGAGGGGCGTAGGGGGGGGGGCCCTTGCGACGGTGCTTCGTGTGCATGGAACGAACGAAGAGGAAAAGAATGGCGTGGCAGCCAGAAAGGTAAGGGATACAGGGGGCGGCCAGGTACACCACCTATTCACATTCCCACCATCCGCACCCATCCGCACCCACCTCGCCGCTTCCGGGCAATGCCGCAATGCTGTAAAAGTACTCCTTGAACAGGTCGATCTCTCGTTGACTGAGGCCCTCACCTGGAGAGGAAGAGGAACGGCGGCGGAGGAGGAGGAGGATTATGGGGAGGAGGATTATGGGGAGGAGGAGGGAGGGTATTGAGAGGGAGAAGCCGCAACCCGGCATCCCGACGCCCAGCGTTTGACCGTGACCACCCATCCACCCACTGCTACCCGCCACCCACAAGCACGCACCGTGATGTGAGAATCTGTTGGCCACGTACTTGAACACCAGGTTCTGGCCCCATGGACCCAGGCCCCGAATGATGGCCCCCGGCGTGACGCCCTTCTCCCACCCCCACATGAACATCTTGAACATCTGACCCCGCCAGCTCCATTTGTCGCCCAGCCAGCGCCGCTCCCAGTCCTCGGGCGCCTTGGGCTGTCGGAGGGGGCAGGAGGGGGTGGAGGGAAGAGGGGTCAGGCCGGTGGCATTAGCTGCGATTACTTGGCTCACACATGCGGGTCAGGCTCTGCGGGGTGCTAAGTGACATGTCGCCAACCGAAGTCTGTTGCTGGGGGAACGGTGGGGCCTCAAGTACGTGTGTGTGTCAATCACACCAGTGCATGACCCAGGGAAGGGGAGGAGGGGGAAAGACGAACCACGAACGAGTGAAGCTGCTGCCAGGGCAAGAGTGTACCAGACGTAGAACTGACCGAAAGGCGTCCGTGAAGGCAGAGGAGGGGGAACGGGGTGAATGAGGTCAATTGGGGGAGAGTGACATGCATGATGAGAGTCCTTACAACACAACACCGGCCGTGGTAGACACGAGGGGAGGCATGAACGGCCTAAATCCCTAATCCATCCCAAGCGCACCACACTGCTATTGCTGCTGTTGCTGCTGTTACCTTCCTCCCTAGTTCTGCGCTGTTAGTTTGACAGGGGGTCTTGCAACAGAACGGCAACAGCACAAAAGACGCACAAGGGGAGCCCCTCCCCCTTCCCCTCCCCCTCCCTCACCACTCCCGCGGGGCACACCAGCACCAGGTGTTGCACGTGCTCCGGATACCGCAGTGCGTAGTTGGCCGCCAGGTAGCCGCCCAGGCTGTGACCCACCTGCAAGGGGGGGAGAGAGGGAGGGGGGCGGAGTGACAGGAAGGAGGTCTGTCGCGATGGTGATGTCCAATATATGGTTGGGGTGTTAGGTAAGTGACGGGAAAAACCCTAAAGCCACCACAGACTGCGCAAGCGGGGGGCGAATGGGAGCGCCTCACAGGCTGGAGCCACTTCGCCTCCCCGCCCGTCCACATGCACCCTCACCCCCTCCCCTCACCCCCCCTTGGATACCCGGGACATCCAGACCCACCAGGACCATCTTAGACCCCTCCAGCCCCGCCGCCCGCCGCCACTCCGCCAGGCTGGTGAGGAAGAAGTCCTCCGCCTGCTCGCGAGTGCGAGCCCGGTAGGGGGGCCGGCCGGAAAGGCCCGTGCCCAACCAGTCCACCGCGAACAGCCGCAATTGCCGGGCTAGACTGGGAAAATTCCTATAGGCGGCCGGGAGAGGTGGTTTCGGAGGTAGCGCTAATGAGCGACGGTGTGATTGTACGAATAGGAGTACGAGTACGACATACGGTAGTGCACTGGACGATGGTGCACTCACGTGTTGCATGCAAGGTACACCCCCCCCACCCTCCTTAATCTGCAGACATCTGATCGCCGGGCACGTGATGGCGACGTCCCCCGCCTCTCCCCGCCCCTACCAGCGCGCTCTGCAGCCCCACGGCCACACCCCGCCAGGGTAGCCACCATCAGACGACCGCCCTTCAGCTGCTAGCCACCCTCCCACTCTCCCACCCTCCCAGCCGTCAGTCAGTCAGCCTCCCAGTTACCCAGCCAGACCAGACCGCCATTCAGGCACCCACCGGTAGTAAAAGCCCACTCCCGCTCCGTAACCCGGCATCATCACCACGGGGGGGTCCACGCGGTCCTGACCCCCGGACAAGGTGTGCAGGTAGGCCTCGGGACCCGGACCCACTCGCACATCACTGGCCTGCATGGGGCCATCCAACCTGCAGTAGCAACCGTAGCAGCAGCAGTAAGAGCAATAGCATCAGCCGCAGCAGCGGCAGCAGCGGCAGCAGCAGCCGCACCAGCCGCAGCACTCTCAGCGAGAGAGATCCCGATCCCAACGGAGACCGTCAGCGCTGACTGGTCACCCGCATATGGATACAAGCAAAATAGGAGAGGGAGGTCATACAGACTACCGAGCCGCCTGATGATGACTGCCTAGCTCTCGACTTTCTCCCCCTTGCCTTCTTTCATCCCCCATCCTGCAGCTGCCCCCTTGACCTCCTCTCGCGGCTCAAACGTCACGAGCCCACAAGCACAAGCAACTGTTCCAATTCACCAGCCGCCAAGCCAGCCCATCCACGCAGTCAGCTCTCTCTCTCTCACCCCGGGAAGAGACGCAGCACCCGGTGCTCCGCCTCCCTGCCCTCTTGTAAGGAGGTCTGCCGCCACCGGGTGAATTTGGTCCACCTGACAGGGGAGGTCAGGTCGGGTCGGGGAGAACGTGCGGCATGGAACCCACGTGTGGCTGCTGGCGGGATGGGGGGCTCCTAGACTTTGTAGGGTACTGGCAGCACTGGGAGTGGGGAGCTCCCCACGGGAATAGGGCTGTGTGTTTTCTACCCCCCTGAAAAAAACTTTGATAATGTTGTATTATATTATATCATATTTTTATGCCTTGATAATGAGAAAACCGCCCACAGCTCCATTCAACGCTGCAAAAATGTAATGACGTTACGACGCGGCGGCAGAACTTCAACCATCTAGCAATGCGTTTGAATTGCTCGTCTGCATGTACGCAATTGCGCTTAGAGAGATTCTGTCTGTGTAGATAGACGTAAATCACGCAGGCGCTGTTGCTGTTGTTGTTTCACATCCCCGTGCGCAACCGGGTGCGGCCAGCCAGGCGTGCTGGACTACTACGTGAGCGTTCGTTAGCGCCTTCTTTCAGCTGGGAGACCATCACGCGTATGGCTGTGGTCTGCGGTCGTGCCATGGGGTGCTGCCGTCCTTGTCGTGCTGTGAGCGGTTGCGGCTGTCAGTTGCGTCGTCAGTTGCAAGTGTGGTTAGGTAGTAGTTAGGCACTGCACGGGTCTGCAACGTGTGGACGCGTACCAGGGGATGGGAGTTGGGGGAGGCATCGAGCTTGAGGCGTCCATGGCAAGGCCGTGCAAGCTGCTGTGCTGGGTGCAATAGGCAAGGGCTCCAGCCCCGGCCCCAGCTCCGGGGCCTGTGGGTGAGTCCGGTTGTACGTGTAGTTTCTGGAAGCTGCGTGATAGTTGGGGCCCGGCGAAGGGGGGTGGGTTTTCCATATCACACAGCGGAAGTTAGTTGGAGCCTCACGGTGTTGACAGTCTAGTCCTCAAACTATGAGCAAATATATATGAGGTGGAATGAGACAAAGCCGTGAAGGGATTCCGTTGTCTCTAACCTGAAACGGGATCGAAGTTGGACGTGGGGCCGATGACCACGTACCAATACCGCCGCCGAAGCAAGCCAATGCCCTACTGCAGCTCGAAGACGCCTTGCTCCTTGTTTCCGGCTTGCTGCAGCTCCTAATCTATGCATCTAACAGCGCGTGGCGTAACCCAACGGTCATAACGCGATGAAGGCAGGGAGCCCTAAAAGTTCCGACGTGTAACTTTAGTTTTTAAAGTCAGTAGTTACATCTAGTTGGCCGTGCGACGCCCGCGTACGCTCTTGGCACGTTCTCAGGTTCTTGAACACGTACGGCTAGAAGCTGGTCCTGAAAATGCGTAAGAACGCGGCGTAAAGATGTAATCCTGTTGTAAAGATTTACGAAACCCTCATACCGAAAATGTCTAAATGGCAGCAATTCTGGATGCGATGCTCCCATGTGCGAATGTTCAGTTTCCAGTACGATGCTCGTCCAGAGGTGCTCTCCGCATTCATGCATGGGATCTGTACATTCCCTAACCAAATCCTGAGGATGAAGAACTGTACTTTATGCTGTATAAATACTTGCCAGTATGTCGCGGGCAACGCACGGCTCCGAACTGCCTGCCTTGTGCGCGCAACAGATGCAAGATTAGCTTTATTGCTTCGGCGAAAACATCATGGACATGATACAAACTATAGCAACTCAAAAATTTACAGTCGTACTTTAGTCCCAGGGCGGAGTTCGAGCAATCAAGGATTACTTGCAGTCTGCGGGACCTCCGATGGCAGCGAGGGCACGGATGCAAGGTCTGGATCTCATGTAGCGGTAATTTCTACTGTGGCCGCGCTGGCAGCGCTGTTTCTGCTGGTTCCCGGCGATGCGGAGGCCACTTCCATATCAGGGCTGACCGATGCGGCGGTCGATGCTGTTGAGTCTTCCGGCTGGCTGGGACCCGCCGTCTTCGTCGCACTTTACGTGGCTGCAACCGTGTTGCTGTTTCCCGCATCGGTGCTTACCCTCGCTGCAGGCGCCTTGTTTGGTGAGCTCTTCCCGTGTCCTGGGATCTCATGTCCACGTAACTGCACCTGACAACGGGTGGGGCCGAAGATGATTGCTGTCAAATGCCAGACTACCTAACGCTCAGTTTCTGTGCTTACCGACTTACGTAACGATCAATCCCAAATCACGCGCCCGGCACCTCGACTCAGCCCAGCTCCTCCTTTTACACACCTTCATCGACACCCCCAGCCCAATCCCTATGAAACATCTCGCCTCTTGGCGCCGTGGGTCCCTTGGCGCCGTGGGTAATACCCGCTGGCGGTCCCCCCCTTTTTCCTCCCCGCGTATTATTACCGGGATATATACCACCCTGCTTTCCGTGTTAGCCCGCACTGCACCCGGCCCGCACAAAAACGATCCGACAACCCGCCCACTTCCACTGCGTGTTGTGTCCCCAACTCACCTTCCAACCACCAACACAGTTATTATCGCCATGGCTAGTCTATTTCTGATCCATCACCGCCACCTCCCTCTCTCCCTCTCTCCCCCCTCTCCCCCCTCCCGGTGAGCCGCAGGCCCCCTGGCGGGCACGGTGTGGGTCTCCCTGGCCTCAACCGCGGGGGCCACCGCCGCCTTTCTGACGTCCCGGTACCTGGCCAGACCCTGGGTGGAGCGCAAAGTGGCAGGTGGGGACACCACTGCTGGCGGTGTGTGTGTACGTGTGGAGGGGGAGGAAAGGCATTGCGCTGCTAGGGGCCGGAGGAGAGCGGGTGGGGGACGCATGGAGGGACGGTTGGACCGGGCGCCGGTTAGTGGGTTGATGTGCCGTTGCGGGACTGGGGACCGGCAGTGTCAGGTGGTCTGGAGTGAGGAGGAGCCGCAGGGGAAGGTGGGGGAGTGTGGAAGGGTGGGGGGAGGGGGCAACGCGGTGTGGTGGCGACGGCCATGGCATGATCGGGATAGAGACCCCTGTGGTCGTCTCCCCATTATCATCGGCGGCGGCGGCGGCTTCCTGCCTTTCCAGCCCTTCCCCCCAACCGGAATTGTGTCTGCAACACACCGCCACCTTTTGCTAAACACAGGTCACGCCGTGTCCCCGTGTCCCCCGCAGACCTCCCCCGCTTCAATGCCGTACTGAAGGGTGTGGCGGCCAGAGGGGCGTACGTTGTGTTCCTGTTGCGGCTGTCCCCTCTGGTGCCTTTCAACTTGTTGAATTACGCTCTGGGCCTTACTGCCGTACCGCTATTGCCGTACGTGGCGTCCTCGTGGTTGGGCATGCTACCGGGCACGTTTGCGTACGTGTATCTGGGTGGCGCGGGCAGGGCCGCGGTGTCGGCGGCGGCGGGCGGCGGAGGAGCGGTGGATACGACGCAACTTGTCTTGTACGGTAAGCCATTACGACAATACGGTAGTACAATACGGTAGTATGGCCTTAGCGGTCTGTCTGTCTGTCTGCCCGTGTGTTCCTTGACACCGAAGGGTGTGTGCAGTGGTGCTGTCCCCCTACCACACAAACCCCCAGCACGCCCTCACACACCCACCCCATCCACTAATGTGCGCACTTCGGTCCACTCCGCCCCGCGCCACTTCGGCCCTTTGGCCCCCCGGCAGGTGTGGGCGCAGTCGCCACCATCCTGGCCACCAGAGCCATCAGCATCGCCGCGACCAAGGCCCTGCAGGAGGAGCAGGAGGGGAAGGGGGAGGAGCGGGCTGCTGGGGACGACAATGCGGATTTCAGGCGATGACAACGGCAATGGGCCGACCGTAATTTAATTCCTTTGTTGCGCATTTTTTTGTTTTTGTTGGATGACGCGGCTGCTCCTGCTTAGGTGGTATCCGGTTGTGGAGGATCTTGTTGCCATCGTTGCAGCTATTGCAAAATCCAGTTAAGGTGCGCCTTCGCTGTTTATGCCATTAATCTGGTCGGGGGGAAGATGCGGAAGATATAAATAGCATTCCCGGCCAGGGTCTTAGTGGTTCGTTTTTTTTTAACTTTCCGCCGTTTCGCTTTGCTGGCTGAAACGCTGTATGCTAATGCTAAGTGAGCGTGTTTAACTTAGGGTTCTTATGCGAATGTGATTTTTTTATCCTTGCGTTGTAGTAACTGGGTCCTGCACGGTCTTCAACTCCCACCGCCCCGTGGGACCAGCTTCAAGAAAGGGATGAAGGGAATGAGGGAGAGCAGGAGGATGCCAGCCTGGCAGGGTGCGGTGCCTGCGGGGCTACACTCGCCAATCTTTAATCCACGCACACGCAGGTCTATGTATGTATATGTATGTATGTACGTACTATGTAAGTCTGTATGTATGTTCGAGGCCCGGGGAGGAGCCAGAGGGCTGAATCGAGCTCCCACCACCACCACCACTGCTGCTGCTGCTGCTACTACTACTGCGACCATGCTGCTGGTGTGATGGAACGTAGGGCACTGCCCTGACGAACGCATTACCTTGGGCGGGACCTCTCACATCTCCACCACAGGCGCGGGCCCGCCGTTGAGAGGGCTGGTAAGAGCGAGACGAGGATGGGTTCGTTCTGTATCCAAAACACACGTGTGTATGTGCATGTATGTATGTACGTATGTATGTATCTGGCAGGAGCGCGCATGAGTAAACACAGCTGCTGCTGCCAGCGTCATACGTCCGTGGATCTGTAAAGGAGCTTTTACGAGAGACCAAAACTTGAGAGGCTTTGATGTTGTTGCTGGTGGTGGTGGTGGTGGTGGTGGTGGTGGTGGTGGTCGTCCCAGCAGCGGTAATGTTTTCTGATACTGCGGAGCGCTCTCTGTTGCACTGCGCACTGGGGAAAGCTCCCGGACCACGAAGTGCACTGTGATCCCCGGACGGGCTTCCACTCGCCCACCCCACCCCCCACCCTGCCCCGCGCGCACTTCATGGCACGATTCATGGCCACCTCCCCTTAGGGGAGGGGATACCACCCAACGATGCCGCCGGTGCGTCGCACGACCATGCATACACATACATACATACAAACTCACCGACCGCATCTATCGCCACCCGTTCCCGCGGCTCACGTCATTGAAACACACACAGTCCTAGCCAAGCAAGCAGGCCGGGGCTCAGCCCCTCAGAATGAAATCCTAACCTAATAGCTGTATAAGCTGTTAAGAGACCACCAAGAGGCTGCATAGTCTCATGAACACATATAGCCGTGGAATGACAGCGCGTACGGCTGGTACTACAACGACAGCGGTGACGTCACAACCACGTACTCCGCCGCCGCCGCGTCCTCGTCCCGCACTTCCCGGAGCCCGCGCAGCCTCAGCACCGGCGCACGCAGCAACCCAGGCACTACCGGCAACATCACCGCCTCTACAACCGCCACACTGCCTTTCGCCTGTCCCAGTCGAATACTGCCCCGACAGCCCAACGCCTGGCGCCACTGCCAGGGACCAGCACCGGCGGCGGCAGCAGCGCCGCCGCCGCCGCCGCCCATCGTGCCGCCAGCAACAGCGGCCGTGGCTATGGCCGTCGCGCTGCCCGGCAGCGCGCCGGCGCCGCCACCGTCAGCGGCGTCTGTTGCTTCGATGACCTCGTACACCGCGACATCGGCGTCCTCGGCGGCAGCAGCGGCGCCGCCAGGGGGGGCAGCAGGTGGCGAAGAGACTCGCGTCACCAGCCACGTTAGATGCGTGGGTTGACCCAGGGAGGCGGCGTGGGGGCCCAAAAGCCGCACCGAAACCAAGTTGTGGGTGAGGGCGTTGGTCGGCGGGAACTCCAGGATGAAGCCGTGTGTGAAGCCGAGCCTCGCACCACCACCACAGCCGCCGCCGCCACCCAAGCTGCCGTCGTACATTCGTGCACCCGCCGCCAGCGCGTACACGCCGTTGTGGCTATAGATGTTAGGGCAGTTGGTGCTGGCAGCCGCCGGCGGCGGCAGCGCCGACGCCGGCGGTTGCTGCTGCTGCTGCTGCTGCTGCTGCTGAGCGGCCGACGCACGGGGCTGAAGGCCGTAGCCCTGCACGCCGTGGCCTGCACCGCTGGGGCTGGCAGCCGACACTACCGCCGCCGCCGCGGCGACGCTCGACTCGTTGTACGAGCCACTTGGCGTCAGAGCTCCTCCATCCCCCAGCAAGGCGCCCGCGGGGGGAGCCGGTGGTGGCGCCGAAAGCGGCGGCAGAGGATACGGGTACCTGCCGACCTGCTGTGGCGAGTTGCCCGGCACTTCGAACGCCGCGAGGACCGAGCCAGCCAGTGGGGGCAGCACACTGAACGTCATGTGCAGCAGGCAGCAGTCCTCCTCATGCAGCCCGGGGGGCTCCTGGAGGGCCTCTGGGGGGTTGGCGTGGGGAGGAGAAGATGGCAGTAGCAGTTGCAGTAACGGTAGCAGCAGTAGCAGCAGCAATAGCAGTTACAGTAGCAATAGCAGCAGCCAAGGTTTACAGGAGATATTGGCAGCAAGTGTTGGTTGCAGAATTGCCCAAACCAACCCAAGCAACTACCCAACCAACCACACCGGCAGCAGCAGCAGCACCACCACCACCACCAGCTCCTAAGCGGCCTAGCTAGGGTTCGAGGACCTCCAGGTGCAAGTCTCCCCCGGGGCCCTCACACCCGTAACCCGCAATTCCCCCCATCCCCCACCACCACACACCTGCCGCCCTACTGAGGATGAAGGCCCAGCTCACCCCCTGTTGGGGGCCCAGCTGCAGCGGCAGTAGCCCGGGGATTAGCGACGGGAGGTGGCCCCCAACGGCGCCGCCGCTGCCGCCATCGCCTAACCCCAACACCAGTCCGTACTGCGGCTCCAGAACCACCTCCGTCACCAGTACGGGCAAGGACAGGCAGCTGGTCGCGTTCACGGACACCAGCACCTGGCTGTCTGGGCGCTGATAGGCCTGTGCCGGCGAGGGGTGTGTGTGGGTGTGTGGTGGTGGTGGGGAGCTGTCAGGCAAGGTGGCGGGGAGGTGTCCACAGGCTGGGGAGTGGGGGCGGCAGGGAAAGACGCGAACACGAAGGGACAGGACAAGGAAGGAGGGGAGGAACGCGCTGTGTGTGTTTGTGTGTGTGTCATTGCAGGCTGTCAACGTTACCCCAGCGACGGTGAAAAAACAGGACATCAATGCGTACGTGCGTGTGTCTGTCTCATGACAGGAGACGCAGCCTGCTGGGTGCTGTTGTGTGTGGGGAGGGCGGGGCCGGCGGTGTGCACACTCGGCCACACTCTCCCCGGCTGGCGTGGGGCCCGACCTCACCCTCCTCTCCCTATTTCAGGCAACAGCCTTGAACTCCCGTTCCACCCCTTCCCACATGGGCCCCGCCCCGCCCCTGCGTCTTGTGTCATTTCATTCCCCTCCCGTTCCTACCGTGGTTCGAACCCTGAAGGGCTGCTGCAGCGGCACCGCCAACGAGGTCGCCTGTGAGCGCCACACGCCACCCCGCAGCCCCTCCACCACCACCTCCAGCTCCACAGGGGGGAGCGGCCGCTGGCCTCCTGCAAGATACGATGTACGTACACGCACACAACCTCACAACGACAGCGGACAGAACAGCAGCAGCAGCAGGATTGGGTGTGTATGCTGCTTTCCGACCCGTGGGTCGCGGCCGGGGGTAGAGGAGGGAGGGAGGGAGGCACCCTACCTGGCACCTGGCTCTTGGGCCCCGGTTGAGGGGGTGGCGTAGTTGCGCCGCCGCCGCCGCCGCCGCCGCCACCGCCGCCCGCACCTGCGCCGGTGGGCTTGCTTTCCCGCCCGTTGCCTGATACCGTCTGCTGGCAGTGGCATCAAACCACACCGCCAAGAAGGAGAACGGGGGAGGTGATGTGTTACAGACACCGTGGTTAGTTAGTTGCGCAGAGTTACGACATTCCGAGGTGGCTCAAGTGTCAGGTTGACACGCTCCGCAGCCGCAGGCCCACACAGCTGCATGAGGACGTGGGGGACCCCTCTCCCACAACACACATACATACACACACATACACACACATACACACACAATTACACAGCAGTAGCAGCAGCAACAACAGCTCACCGCGGCGCCCTGCCGGCTGATGAACCTCCGGCCGTTCAGCCCGCCAGCGGTGCCGTACCGTGATGACGTCACTCCCGCGTGAGCCTGACGCCACGCATCACCGTGTGTATGTGGGGGCCCGGGGGGTTCGGCGGGAGTAGGTGGGGGGTTTGCACGCACACGGACCGGTAGACACGTCAATGCTGTACGACAGCCCCTCCACGATGGAATGCCAGGACGCCTGCCGCACCCAGGACACCCATCACACGGCAGGTAACACCGAATACCCCGCCCAGTGGTTGCACCAGTAGCGCTACCAGTACCGTACCCTACCCTACCCTACCCTACCATGCCTTACCTTCCTTTCTTACTTTTTCTTTTCCTTCTCGTCCTGCGGGGACCCCCCACCTAGCGGGGCGTCGCCCTCACACCCCACGCACCAGCGCACCCCGCCGTACCGTACCGTACCTGCTGTACTCGTACCAACTCCGGAGCCACATCCAGCGGGGCCTTATCGTCTGGTCCCATCACCGGGGCGGCGGGGGGCACCCACACGGGCAGCCACATCAGCACGGGGGAGCTCAGCGGGCCCGCAAGGACCTGCGGGGGAGGGGGGAGAGAGGGGGAGGGGGGGGAGACGAACCACGAGCGAGTTAAGCTGATGCCAAGGAAAGACTGATGGGGGGGGAAGGGGCGGGGGAGGGGGGGCCGCGGGCCGCCTCCTCTCGGAGCCCGAGAGCCACATGGACGAGTGGAGATACGAGATGGGAGTAACGGCCGCACCTGCGACAGATCTACCCCCTGGCGACTGTGAACCGTCCACTGCGCCTCCGCCACCTCCGCCACCCTGCCAACAGCCGTACAACCAGCGGCGCCGCCGCCACCGCCGCCCGTACTGCCGCTACACACAAGGGAACTGTCCACGCCGCCCGACGGCGGCGGCGGCGGAGTGCGCGATGAAGATGATTGCGACGTCATCCGGGACGGCGGCGCCGCCGTTGCCGCCGCCGCCGCCGCCGCTTGGTCCACCGCCACTCGCTGCAAGTCAATGACGGCAACTCGGCAGTGTCCGGCCGCCTCAGCCCTTCGAAATGTCGGCGGAGCAGCCAAGGCGCCGGGCTGAGCTGGGTAGTCCGGGCATGGAAGATGGTGATGGTTAAAGGAGGGAGTGGCGGCCATGGCGGCCACGGCAGGGCTTGCGAATCCAGTGACGGCGAGGGGCGGGAGGGTGCCGCCGTCGCCACCGCCGCCGCCTTGTGCTTCAACAACGAGGGGCGGAGGGGCACCGCCCGTGGAGGGGATGGAGGGCATGGCGGAGAGGGGCACCTGGGGGGTGGAGGCGGCGGCGGGGGGACACCACTCCCCCACTCGCAACGCGGACTGAGCCCGGGCCTGCGGCAGGAGGGGCAAGAGGACGTACGGCAAGTGGAAGTACGACAAGCGGAGGAGGTATGGCACGGGGACTACCGGAGTGAAACAATTGCATGGAAACAATGCTTGGTGTCAAACGAGCCCTGAACCGTACGACAGACGTACAGTATACCCGCCCTGCTTGTTGTACCTGAACATGTACCCGTACGTACTGCAAGCCACCGCGATTGGCACCTCCTCGTCGTCGTCCTCCCCCTCCTTCTCCGCCGGCGGCAGCATCGCCACCCGGGCCCTCCTCGTCGTCAGCGCCATGATCACCTGCGTCATCATCTTCGGCGCTGCTGCTGCTGCTGCTGCTGCTGCACCTTGCCCCCGCCGCCTCCGCCTCCGGGTCCGCGTCCAGCGGTGTCAGCGCCACCCCCAGCCACTGCGGCAGCCCCGCCGCCAGTCCCCCCCCCACCGCCACGGGAGCCACCCCCAGCCGGGGGACCAGGGGGCCCACATGGAGAGCTACCTCCAGGTGCCGTACCTCACCACCTGCTTGGCAGATGCATAGGTAGGTAGGTAGGAAGGTAAGTAGGTAGGCAGTAAGTTATAGAGAGAGGTAGAGAGACTGCGTGTTGACATGTGTGTATGTCTGTCTACACCCGTACGCGTGAATACATAAATCTGTATATAAGCACCCTCCCGCACAAAACACACACACTATACACACACTCTCGGGGCCCAGTCCTGTACCTTCCACGCGCCCAAGCTGCGCGATCGCCGCTGCCGTACACATGGACGAGCCGCTCAAACCCAGGCCGCCAAAGGAAAAGCTGCCGCCAGCCCCCGGCGCGCCCGAACCCGCGGCCCCCGCGGCCCTGGCCCCCAGCCCCACGAATCCGGACCAGCCGCTTGTCAGCGCGCGTATGTCAGCTGCGAGCTGGCCCGCCGGTACGACAGGTATACGGAGATCGTACGATCCAACAGAGGCGGATAGGTGGCGGGCGAAGTACAGGCCGGGCCGCATCGGCGCGATGCGGAATGTGAGGTGTGTCAGGCCCGGCTGGAGTACGACAGTACGGGAATCTGCAGAGACCCCGGTCATGCTGGACGAGGCTGCGGGCTCGGGGCTGCTGCCGCTACTGCCGTCACCGCCGCCTCCTCCTCCTGTGGTCCCGGTGGCTGTGTGTCCAGGCCCCTGTCATCGTGGACAGCGACGGAGGGACAAACATACATCCACATATACTTAACCTCGGGCACAAATACATCCACATATACATACAGATAGACAGGGTGTGCGGTGCTATCCTTACTAGCATCGCCATCTACTTGATGGAGCGAGCACTAGCCGCCCCCCACCCCCATCCCCCACCACTTCTACGCTACTAAGACCACTTTCCTCGGTGTGAAATCGGGCCCCCTCCATCCCCCATTTCCTGCAACTCGCTCGGGACCCACACAGGTTGTAACTGTAATTGTACTTGTGGCCTCAGCCCCGACACAACCATTCGCATAGAACAAAGGATCACGAAACCATCCCAGAACCAATGGGTTTACGCATACGTACTACAATAACGCACCTGAACGTGCCGTACTTCAACGAGGTGATGGCACGCCAGGTCGTCTCCCGCCGCCCAGCCCGGTCCTGGGTCGCCGCGGACGCTGGCGGGGGAGGTCAGGCCCCCGGCGGCGGCGGC